GATCTCCTCTGGTCTCGTTCAGGAAAGTGTAGGCACAGGCTTGGCTTTGCACAGCCCATGGATTTCAGACAGAGAGAGTTCAGTATGTGCTTCAATGTGTGCATCTCTGCTGGTCGGGGGACATATTGCTCAGCACTTCCAGAACTCAGCTCAAATTGCAGCACCAACCCCAATTCTGGGCCTGGAACAGCTCGTTACAAGGTCGGTGCTGCAGGGAGAAGTGAGTAATTGCAGGATGACTCTTGGAAAGCAAATTCTTTTGAGAAATGAGAGAAGACTTGGAGGCCTTTAAGCTTTCCAGATCAGGGCTAGCTTGAGGAAATCCAAGGGGTTGAGAAATGCCCTGCAGGGAGTGGTGTGGGTGGTGTTTTTCTGCCCCCTGAGCTGGTGGTGGTCACAGCTGAGTACCTGAGGCTGCTGCTTGTTTAGCTGAGCTGCTCCAGTTGCAAAATTCTTTGGTCCTTTTCCTACTTGTGGCTGAGTTCTAATTCACATCCAGCAAGTGGCAGAGCCGAAGGGATTTGCTGTGTTGAGCTGTGTCACAGGTGCTGTGACAGTGCCCTGTGGAGCTGGCTGCTGGCCCTTGGGGCGCTGTGATTTGGGAAAGAGCTGCTGGTGTCACTCCCAGGGATGGCTGTGATTTCAGAGCTGGTGGGATGGACAGACTTTGGTGTCACTTCAGGATGCTTGGGTGTCGTTCTTGCAGAATTCATTTACCAGACTGCAGCAAAGGCAGGTTTCTTGTGGAGTTCTCCATGAAAGCTTTGTAAAGAGTTCCTTTATGGTTTTAAGAGCACCAAGCTTAACTTGTGGAATACCTTTCCAGAAGTGACTGCTTGGTGAAGCTCTGTTCATCACCTGCTTCAGACCCTTACAGGAATACTCTGTTGGAGGAGAAATTTGGCCTTTCTGTCTCTTGCCTGCTGTCTCAGGGGCTGGTCCGTGCATTGCCAAATGTTCTTTTTCATCAGCTGAAGGAAAGCTTCCAGTATCCCAGAATGGTTTGTGTTGGAAAGGCCCTTAAACAACCTCTGTCCCATGGGCAGGGACACCTTCCACTATCCCAGGTTGTTCCAGGCCCTATCCTTGGAGTTCCAGGGATGGAGCAGCCACAGCTTCTCTGGGCACCCTCTGCCAGGGCATCCCCACCCTCACAGGGAACAATTTCTTCCCTTTATCCAACCTAAATGTCCCCTCTTTCAGTCTGAATCTATAACTCCTTGTCCTATCCTACAATTTCTGCTAAAAAATCCCTCTCCAGCTCCAAGGTACTGGCAGGCTACAGATTCTCTACTGCACTGCTGCAGATATTGATGCTTTTCCTCCACGTCTGAGCAGAGTTTGGCCCCTTCCCACCCACACCACGCTTGCTGATGGTATTTTGATGAGGTTTTTCCTTTAGGGACAGCAAGGACATAAACCAAGGAGACAAACCCAGCCTTCTGTGCTTTCACATGCTCCGTGCAGAGGTTTTCACCTCTTGAGCAAAGGGGCTGCTGCTTAGGTGGGCTTGTTTGTGTTCTGTCCCTCACTTAATCTGTCTCATCTACTGAAGGCTGCTCTGCAGGGGGACGTGAGGCCCTGAATGCACTCGGGGCAATTAGGTCTCTAAAGCGTTATTTATTACAATTATTTTATTTTCAAAGTGGGTCAAGCCGTTTTGGCATTTCAGGCGTTGATTCCTGGTTCAATTGCGGGCCTTGGTCGCCATGGCAACTGCAGAAAGCGTTCGTCATGGCTGTGCCTTGGGCTGGATTCAAACTCCAGGGAACGAGCAGGAGCAGGGAGAGCTCTGAGGGGCTCGGGGCAGGGGCAGCCCTGGGCTCTCCGTGCCCATCCTCGCCGTCATCAGATAACACACTCCTCATTTTCTCTGTCTGTCGGGTCCTTCGTGTCAGAAATATTCAGCTTTTCCCAGTCAGCAGAGAGTAGGAGGGGAATTCAGCCCTCCTGGGTTTGATATTTGTGCCACTGACTGCAGGGAGAGCCAAAGAAGGAGCCCTTGATGTTATTTTTCCCCCCTTATTTCTGCAAAGGTGAGAATCCACACACGCCTAATATGATATTTGTGGATGGATTTAATTTTTCAAACCAAAAAACAGGCTTGAAAGACAGAATCTGCCCAAGGTTGTGCTTGGCAGAGCTGGCATCAAAAATTGTGGCTGTGGCAGTGTGTGAGCTGGGCAAAAATAAAATTGCCAGCTCTAAGCAATGATCTGAATGCATCTAAATGACCTAAAACATCTAAGCTGGTGTGCTCCTGTGCAGCTGCAGTGCTAGGGCATGCTGGGCTGTGACTAAAAACCCACCTTAAGGGGCTTTGTAAGACCATAAAAAGACTGAAATAGCACCAGGCTTTCCAGCATTTTTCATCTTGAGTTTCACCTGCACGCTGTGGCAGCTGTACCCTGGTTTTGAGCCGCTCATTCTGAGCTTTAACTGAGCAGCAGCAAAATCTCATAGCTGCAAACTGAAAGCAAACAGAGGCTGGACTGAATTTGGCTTGGTCTTTGCAGAGCTGCTCTAAACTCAAGCTCAAAGTGAAACTGAGCTCACACAAACTGAAAATGAGTTGTGTGTGGTAAACTCAGGTTTTGTAGAGCTGTGGAGGAAAAAGTAGTACATGTGTTCAGACAGGTTTAGCCAGTGATGTGCTAGGCAGGGACACTGGCTTCAAATTCCTGCCTTATGTTTTTGGGGACTTCTCACACAAACCAGCTTGTGTTGCCTCACCAACAAGCAGGGCCAGCACAGCCTCAGAATTTGGAGGTTTTAACTAGAAGCTTGCCTTTTCTACAGTCTGTAAAAATGGCAATTTAGAACGGTTTCTGTCTCTGGGACTGCTGCTGCTGAACTTGGAGTCACTAATGTAGCTCTGCTGTGCTGCTAAAATTGAATTTAGCAGGAGCACAGACCAGGTGAAACACCCATTTTGACTGGGTCAGCAGAAAATCTGTGAAGGAACCTGATGCTTTTTAATACTTCAGTAAACTAAGAAATCCCTGATAATTTTACTTCATGTTATACCTAAACTGTGGGTAAACTCCCAGAGCTGCTGGGAGAATGATCCAGACCGTGTTTTGGTTTGTCTTTTGCTTCAGTTATTATTTGGGAGGATTAAATCTTGAATATTGCTACAGTTATTGCTACACTGGCTTAGCATTCAATATTCCTGTGCCTTGTCCAGGGAAAGGGAGGGCACAGGACAAGATGATGTGACAATATTTCCCATGGGGATGTGCCATTGCTCTGGTGAAGAGCCCCAAGCCAAGGGGAATTGCTCTGCACTGGAGCTGCCTTGGGGTTTGGGTGGTATTTGAACAGATTTTTATTGCTCTATATCTGTATTTCTCATCCTTCTGGGTAGAAACAGGTAACAGAGCAGAGTTTAACTTAATCCACCTTCCTGCCTACAGAACATTTTGCACGCCCATTTTTCCCCAAGCCTGAAATGAAATTCCACACTTTCTAGGGGTGAAAACATCTTCTCAGGGGCTCCTGGGAAGCTCCACGCTGCTGTTCCTGCCCCGTGCCAGCTCCTAGGAAATCTGATTCTGGCCCTGTTTGCATAAGCAGCTTGGCTGTGTGCTTCCTGCAGGCTGCTCAGGGAAAGTTTCATCACTCGTGCGTTGACACAAGCAGTGAGCAAATAAAGGAGAATTTACGAGAGCAGTTCATCCAAAACCAAGCCAAGCCAAACCTGGGAACTGCTGGGGGAATGTGTTACACTGGCTGCTCGTGTCTTGTAAAATGGTTCTGGCATCTTCAGAAGTAAGGAGAGATGGACATGGTTTTTATCTGGGAATTAATGAAACCTCAGGCACGGGTTCAGCTCCTCTAGGTTTTTGGGGAGGAAATGATCCATTTGGAGTACACTGCTGTGCATCATTGTGATTGCTGCGTGCAATTTGGCTTAAATCTTAAGAGTCTGATTGCAACAACTTCTTTAACTCAGTCCCTTGCAGTTGTAATTCCTCCATCCTTTCCCTGCTGCCTGTGCTGTCAGATGTGGCCTGTTTGGTGTTGCTCATAACAGGCTCCTGAAGAAGTTAGCACAGATCCAGTCCTTGCACAGGCTCCTCTGTGACCTGCTGACTTGAGCAGCGCAGCTGGAAAAGCCTCGAGGATGTCTGGGCTGGTCAGAAATAGATCTGACTCCTGAAGGAAATGAGTGACGGAGGGAAAAATGGGTGTAGTGTGTGGTGTTTTGAAGAGTCTGGCAGGAAGGAGAGGCATCAAAAGAGAAGGAGCAGTGAGGAAATCTGAGTTTTCCTGTTCTGTGTTAGTTTGTACATTACTGGCTTGCTGATCTAGGTGCTGGGGTGTTTGCTGAGGAAAGAGAATGAGAAGTTCCATTCCCCTCATAATTTCTGTAAAGCTCTGAAAGGCCTTGCTTTTCCCATTGTGAAAAAGGAACTTAATTTTTATTTTTTTTTTAATCACAAAGACTTTTGGGTCACAGCAAACCATTTTCATGCCCAGCTCTAACTGGTGTGGGAAAGGATGGTTCTGTACAGGAAATGCTGCATTGAATGTCATCATGACTCCCCTCCCAGAGCCCCGGGATTTCTGATGCTCTTTGATGGGGTGTTTTCTGAAAGGTGTGACCCCGTTTTTGTGCATCCTGTTGAGAAGAGCTGCACTAATAAAGGAGGGGCAGAGCGAGGCTGTATTGAGAACACGCTGACACCTCTCTCGTTCTTGAGCTCACATTTGATTTTTCTGAGCTCAGATCATCGTTTGAAACTCCAGGAGCCCCAAGGAGCCGACGAGTTCCTTCTTGTGGGCGTTGCTCTGTGGTCTGAGGGCCTGGAGGGTGGTTGGAGAAAGGCTCTGCCAGCAGTTCCTCTGCCTCTGCTAAAAGAGAACTGCCTCAATCCACGGGGGGCGATGGTTCAGGAAGCAGCTCCGTGCTGCGGGCGCTGCTCAGCTCGGGGCGCAGCCCTTTCAGTCTGGAGATGCTCTAACCCTGCTCTCTCTGCCCTTGCTCTGCCCTGCAGTACCGCCAGTAACTCCAACCGCAGCACGCCCGCCTGCTCCCCGATCCTGCGCAAACGCTCGCGCTCGCCCACGCCGCAGGACGCCCCGGGGGACGCCATGGTGGAGAAGGGCTCCGACCACTCCTCGGACAAGTCCCCGTCCACGCCGGAGCAGGGTGTCCAGCGGAGCTGCTCCTCCCAGTCAGGCCGCAGCGGGGCCAAGAACTCCAAGGTGAGGGGCGAGCAGCGCGCCGTGTCCGCGGAGCTGGGCTCGCGCTGCTCCGGCTTCCTCCTCTGCCTTCTTCTTCTTCTTCTTCTCTGGCTGGTCTCCCTCCCTCTTCCCCCAAGGTTCTGCTAACTTGGGGTCCTTCACCTGGGTCAGAGGTCAGCACAGCTCTGAGGTTACAGCTTTCTCTAGGACCTTTCTAGGACCTTTCTCCAGGTCTCTTTCTCGAGGTCCTGTTCCTTGGGAGGCTCTGTGGGAAAACTCTGTGTTTGAGGGTGCCAGGACGAGGGAAGAGATGAGAATCTTGACTCCATGTTTCAGAAGGCTGATTTATTATATGATGATATTATATTATATTAAAAATGCTATACTAAAACTATACTAAAAAGAATAGAGAGAAAAGATCAGAAAGCTGGAAAGGAAAAGCAAGGAATGGAATGAATAACAAAAACTCGTGACTCTCAGAGTCCGACACAGCTGCATCTTTGTTTGGTTATTAAGTAGAAACAACTCACATGGACCAACCAAAGGTGCACCTGTTGGTAAACAATGTCCAGACCACATTCCACAGCCATCAGATAGTTAATTGTTTACATTTCGTTTCTGAGGCTTGTCAGCTAAAATAGGAGAAAAATCTTAGCAAAGGATTTTTCATAAAATATCATGACTACACTCCTCCACCAGGGGTTTTCAACAGGCCTTGAAAATCAGCTGTTTCAATTGCTTTTTATCACCTGGATCATGAGATGAATAAGGTTTCCCCTGTGATGGGCCTGTGCATTTCCCCAGTCCTATCCAAGCCCTCTGAGATCAGTTCAGATTGCACAAAATCACTTCTCCAACCCTCTGCCCATTCCTTCCATGGCTGCAGTGTTACAGCTGGCTTGCCCAGGGCAGCTGACATTTACCCCAGGAAGGTTTTGTGTCTTTGGACCATGTTAGAAACAGCCTTGTCTTTGCTGTGTAGGGAAAGGGGTTTCAGGTTTGGCTCTAGATTTTTGTGTGAGCAGTGGGGCCTGGGAAAACACACACGAGAGCCTGGGGTACCAAACAAACCTTTGATTATAACCCTGAGATCAGTGACGTGTCAGCTGTCAGGAGCACTTGTGTTTGCCCAGATTTTTGAGGTGGGATGTTTCAGCCTGAATAATTTCACAGACAGAACTCTGATGGCTTGTATAAAATGAATTGTTTGATTTATTGCTGGATTGTGTCACAGACAAGAAATCTTCATCCCCTCCCCTTTGTGGCCACTCAGCAGAGGGAACAGGACTCAGTGGCCCACATTCTGATCTCTCACCACTCTGGGGGGGAGTCTGTGAGTTCAAAAGAGGGGGGAAAAGGGTTTTTCAAGCTGAATCATTGGCGTTCTGAGGTTGCCCTTGAGGTCAGCCTGGCTTCCTGTGCACGCAGTGACCTACAAACCCCGTCCCAGCGCTGGGTGACACCCCCAGCACGGCCTTGCCAGCACTGTGTTCCCAAAAGGAAGCCATGGGATGGGATGGGAGGCAGGAGGATGCAGGGCACGCTGTGCTGGGAGCCACACTGGGGGTGCTCGCAGGGAAATGGGCTCCTTGGGAAGGGGAACCACAGAGAGGATTTGCATCACCCTGGCCCTCAAAAGTAAGGTCATGGGAGTGAGATTTTACCAACACGGTGACTGCTAAAGCTGAACTTTAATTCCTGGTGCTTTCCACAAGGAAGAGGGGGTACAGTGCTCTCTGTTGGGTGTGTGGGTTTTCCTTCTCTTGATCTGCGAGGTAATTTTTCTTCTTTCCCTAATTTCTCTCTTTTCATTCCTGCATGCTTTCTCTCCGATTAAGTCACACAAGCGCCTCTCCAAAGTAAGCCTTCTTTTTTCTCTCCTGTCCCCCACTGTAGAGCTGCCTCATCACTCAGGAACCCTCCCTGTGGTGCTGAGTGCTGACCCCAGTCAGGCATTCTCCTGCTGTGGCTGTGAGAATGTCAGCAAGAGCTCAGCCCCGTGCCTGTAGCTGGAAGCTGGGTTCACTTACATCACTGGCATCTCGCTGGTATTTGCTCACACAGACTGAGAACTGGCCTGTTCATCACACCCTGCAGCTGCTGCCAAATCATTTCAGCCTTTAAGTTCTGCTTTCCCCTCTCCCTTGGAGTGAGCTGCTGTCTTTGCCAAGGAGAAATCCTCTGGAGTTGAACAGAACCATGATCGCTTCTCTTTCCTTCTTCCCCCATGATTTCAGAAACGAGAGTTGTTCTCCATGACTTCTTCCCTGCTTTTCATGATAAATAGCATTTTTGTGGCCAGTGATCTCAGCTTACTGCCCTTGCACGCTCTGCTGTGTGATGTAAATATTAAAGATCAGTGATTTCAAGTGAACCCAGCTTGAACCTGATAGAACAGACCTGTCCCAAATGAATTGTGAGAATTCATGGGCTCGCTCTGAGAGGTGATAAGTGGAAGATCCCTTTGTGGGTGCTTGAATTGGAGATAAGATCGTTTGGGATTTGATCTCACAGCTCTGTGCTGCCCTCAGAAGAGTGGAAAAATGAGAAACACAGGTGGGATGTTGTTGGAGAAAGTGCCAGGCTGTTGGCATTTCCCCTTTATGACAGCAGAATGGCTTGGATGGCTTCACAAAAATCCACAGAATCCTCGTCTTGGCCTTTCCCCAGTGGATGCCTCAGGTTTCCTTCTAGGCAAGTTCTCAGAGAGCAGTGCTGGCTCACTGTCCTCCCTTGGTCGTGGTCCTTGTGACCAGCCTGACCTTGCATGATTAGCTGGTGTCTGCTGGGAGCTTCCTGACGTTTTTTTTTTAGACAGATTGTCTTGTGCTTGGTATGTGTAGCTGGGATAACTGCAGAGGAGCACCGTGGGCTAAAGTCTCAAGGTGAGGAGTGGAAGAAGTGCTGTGCAAGGTGTGCAGTAGCAGAGTCCTGACAGGATTGCTGGTGAGCCGAGGTGTGTGGGCCAGGACAGGCTGTGCTGAGCTGGAGGTGCAGAGGGTTTGAGGACAGGGATTGGTGGGAAGAAGGCTGGAACAGAGGGATGTTTGTAAAATGTGTGTGCAGTGCTGCTGGGAGGTGCCTGCAGCCAGCCCCTGCTTCTCTGAGAGGGAAAAACCCAACCACTGTGGGGCAGCTGGAGGAAGTGAGGGAAGCGGAGCCCAGATGAGTTCAGAGGGAAGGGGATCCCAGGCAGGACCCCCAGCAGCCTGTCAGAGCCTCCTGCCCTGCTCACACGGAATATTCTGAGCTGGATCCACGAAGATCATCGAGTGTGCAGCCTGGAGCTCTGTTCTGTGCTTCCTCTGGCACAAATGAAGAATTTCCAGGCATTAACCCCCCTGCTTGCCCCCATGCAGACGATTCTGTTGTCTGCTCACACAGGGAGAGGTCAGCAACAAAAAAACTGGAGGGCAGAGATTCCAAACTCTCCTTTCCCAGCCTCTTCTCCTCTCCCCACCCATCTCCTGCAGGAAGAATGGTTTGCTTTCCCAACCTGTCTGGCTAATGAGGTGGAACAGCTTGAGCCCATGAGTTTGCTGCTGTGTTGGTGCAATTGCTGCCAGATCTGCTTGAGCTCCCTGCCCTCTTTTGTCTGTGCTGTTCTGTCGTGCTGCAGCGCTGCCGTCAGAGGGAGTGCTCCACCAGGAGTTAAAAACACTGGAATTGTCCCAGGGAGTGCTCCACCAGGAGTTAAAAACACTGGAATTGTCCCAGGGAGTGCTCCACCAGGAGTTAAAAACACTGGAATTGTCCCAGGGAGTGCTCCACCAGGAGTTAAAAACACTGGAATTGTCCCAGGGAGTGCTCCACCAGGAGTTAAAAACACTGGAATTGTCCCAGGGAGTGCTCCACCAGGAGTTAAAAACACTGGAATTGTCCCAGGGTGTGCTCCAGGAGGAGTTTAAACACACTGGAATTGTCACAGGGGTGCTGCAGCAGGAGTTTTAAACACTGGAACTGTCCCAGGGAGTGCTCCAGCAGGAGTTTTAAACACTGGAGTGCTCCAGCAGAAGTTTTAAACACTGGAATTATCACAGGGATGCTCCACCAGGAGTTTAATCCCAGGGAGTGCTCCAGCAGGAGTTTTAAACACTGGAGTGCTCCAGCAGAAGTTTTAAACACTGGAATTATCACAGGGATGCTCCACCAGGAGTTTAAAACACTAGAGTGCTCCAGCAGGAGTTTTAAACACTGGAACTGTCCCAGGGAGTGCTCCAGAAGGAGTGTAAAAACACTGGAATTGTCACAGGGATGCTCCAACAGGAGTTTTAAACACTGGAGTGTTCCACCAGGAGTTTAAAACACTGGCGTGCTCCAGCAGGAGTTTTAAACACTGGAACTGTCCCAGGGAGTGCTCCAGCAGGAGTTTTAAGCAGTGGAGTGCTCCACCAGGGGTCTTTAAGCACTGGAATTGCATCCTGAGGGAATCCTTCCCAGAGCTCTCTTTGCCACCCCGACCCCACACTGTGCCATGGTCTGACTCAGCCTTAGGCTTTTCTGGGACAGCTTTCCAAACTGAGGAAAACCCCATCTTTTTGCCAGTAGCCAAGGATAAAATATGTATTTATTAATGATTTTGCTCTTGCCTGAGGATAAAAGTGGTTTCCTTCAGATTCTTCCCAATGTCTGTAGCTAATGGTGAATGCTGAGGATTAATATTAAGTTAGGGGGAAATATGAATTTTGGTGCAGTCCTGGGGGCTGCAGAACAGTTTAGGTCAGGAGGGGTCTCAGGAGGTCTCTCACCCAAGCCCTGCTCAAGGCAGGGTTAAATCAGCTTGGTCCAAACCCTTGTCCAGCCACGTTTTGCAGCTTTCCAAGGCTGGAGATGCCCCATCCTGGCCAGGCCCCTGCTCCAGTGCTTAACCACTCTGGTGAGCAGCTTTTTCCTCCTCTCCAGACAGAACTGCCCCTCCTGCAGCCAATGGCTGTTGCACCTTGTCCCTCCAGTGTGCCACGATGAGAAGAATTTGGCTGTGTCTTCTCATCCACCCTCCCACCAGGTAGGACAGAGCCCCTTTAGGTAGTAGGCAGTGAAATTCTGTTTATTTGGGGCTGGGGTGAGGGTTTGGGGAATAAATTCCATCAATTTCTTGGAGTTATGGCCAAGAAATTTAGAAGTTTGGAGTTATGGCCAAGAAAGTTTAGAAGCTGGTTGGGCAGCGTAGCACAGATCAGGAGAAAGAGCTCTGGAATTCTGAGCTCTGGTTCTGTGCCTCTGCTTCCCCAGGTGTGACTTTAGGGATTTAGGGATGCTCCTAGAGCTCTGTGGCATGCCATTCACCTGGCAAAGGGTCTCAGTTCCCTGGGAGCAGCAAGGAGTGAGCTGTGGTGCTGCTGCCAGCGATGCTGAGAGGCAGAGGCTCTGTTTGGAGTTTCAGTTCAAGGTTGGTGTGTGACCTGTGTGCCCTGCAGAGCTGTCACCTTCCCTAGCAGTGCATGCAGATGTCAGGTCACTAAATCGTGACTATTTAGAGGCAGCAATTAAAGGCTTAGAGAAAATACTCCATTTTTCACATTCCTCCAGAGCTCTTCCTGGTTACAGCCCCCTTGTAACCACGAGCTCTGCTCTGTGCTCCTGTAGCATCATCTCTGCAAACCTGTCCCATCTTCTCCCTGTCTGTGTGCACCCCCCTCCTTCTGTTATTTATTTATTTTCTCTTTTCAGTTCTAATGCTTATGGTTTCTTTTTCCAGTATGACAGACTTAACCTGCTCAAAGTAAGAATATGTTTTTCCTTTTTCTTTCTTTTTTCCTCCCCCTCTCCATTTTACTGTCTCTTGATTTTCACAGTTTGCATCTCCCTCTCCATGAGTTTAAAAAAAAAAAAAAAGATAAATTAGAAGAGAGATTTAAGGGCTGAGGTTGTTTGGATTTTGGACAAGTCTGTTGAACTTGATGGAGGCAACAGCTGAGGTTAGAGTGTTGGTATAATTAAGGATGTTGGTAAAATTATGGACATCAGTATAATTATGGATCTCAGTATAATTATTTGTGTGGAAGAGCTTAAAGAAGGGCCTGCAGAGCTCCTTTATAGAGTACCCTTGATTCAGGGAAATTCAAATGTTAGGAGGGAAAAAAAAAAATAGTTCCTGCAATGAATGCAGCAGAGTGGACTGAAATCCTGTTGGGCTGTGCTGACACCTCAGCATGGGCACCCTGATTTAGAAGGCACAGTGACAGCAGTGCCTCTGGTGTGTGTGTGCCAATTATAGTTTGATTATGAGGGTTTTTTTTTTTTGTTTTCCCCAGGAATTTCTGAGTTACGCCTTTTGCTCATTAAGGCAGACAGATGGCAAAACAAATCTGCAGGAAAATCACTCCATCTCAGGGCCTGTGCTCCTGAGGACAAGGTGCTGTGTGCATGGCTCAGATTAATTACCCTGGTTCTTTTTTTAGTCTAGACTGGGTTGCATAAGGCTTTTTTTTCCACGTCCTACTTGCAGAGAGGGATGACTTCAACCCCATCCTTTATGAATGGATCAGGTATGGCCAAGTATGGAAAAGAGTGGGAAGTAGGAGGAAATTCCTCTGCCTGGAGGAATGAGTGTGGGATATGAGCCATGCTCTGTGTTCAGTCCCTCAGCTCATCTCCTTTCCCCAGGATCTGGGGGAAAAAAGGGGGTGTTCCTCTTTTTGATGTCACATTTTTGTATTTTAGCCAGTGTACTGTATTACTGTGGGGCTTTTCACGAGAGACTGGGAGCTCTGCAATGGATCCTTCAGAAATGGATCCAGTGAGGTTTTGTGGCTGGAGTGGATGCAGGGAACGTGGAGCAGGGAGATCCAGGGGTGGAACAGAGCAGCCCCTGCCTCTTCACCAAAATCTGTTCCAATCTGACCTCATTAACATTCCCCCTCCTTCCCTGTGGCAGAACAGCCTGTGTGTCCTTGGTGGGCAGGCAGTGGCTGTGTCCCTGTGAATATTCCAGGGAATTCCCAGTGAAATTCCTGCAGCCTCTGTGGTGAGGCACAGCGCAGAACGATTCCCTTCCTGTTCCAAACTGCCTGCAAAGCCTGGAAAATTCTCCAAGGTCAGAAGCAAGATGGCTTCAGAGGAGGAAAGGCAGTGAGATGTTGCTTCTGTCCTTGTGTGTTATCCTCAGCTCCCACTGCAGTGTTTGGGAGAGGGGACAGCACAGCTGGAGCTGCCCACCCTCGTGGGAAAGGCTCTGGTGCCCCCAGGCTTCACTGCCATGAGGGAAATACCCCAAAAAAGGGGGATTCCTGTGTCCTGAAGGAGCTCAGAGTCCTGCTGTTGGAAAGCCAGCCTGGCTGCGGTGGGAAGCTCATTTCCTCCTCTCCCTGTGCAGATAAATCTCACCTCCAGCTGAAAATTGCCAAGCGTGACTTTCCAAGCTGAGCCAGCTCTTTTGTGTGCTCCGATGTGGCGTGTGGCCTGTCCTCTCCAACCATCTGAAATGCCATGATAAGGATGGGGGAAAAAAAAATCACATGTGCAGATGATGCAAAACACTGTGCGCTGAAAAAAAAAATCCCAGCTTTTTTTTTTTTTCCCTTGCCTAGCTTCTCTAGCAATTTTCTACAGCACTTTTCCTGGCTCTGTGTGTGTGTGTCTCCCTTTTAAAATTCAAAATACCCTTGGAACATTTGTCTTTTGTGGGCAAAGCTCTGTCCCTGCCCTTAGCAGTGCTTCGAGGGCTGTTCAGGGCAATGTGAGTTTTACCACTGGGCCAGTGGAAGAATGAAGGCCCTAAAGAGGTGGCTGGCAGTGATGGTGATGATGATGGTGAGCTCCTCTGTTGCTGGCTGGCACTGCTGGTCTGCAGACAAGGTGACAGCATGTCTGTGTGTGTGTGCATGTGGACATGCACACCTTGGCCTGAACTGTTTCCTGTTCCAGACTCCTGCTGCTGGATTTGTCCCTTGCTCCTGTAACTGGGGATAACTGTGTCAGACCACGCTGTGAAACCCATTGAAATCTTCTGTTTAATCCCACTTTCACTTCACTAATGATCCAAACCAGACTGGACCTGCTTTCTCTGTCCCTCTTTCTTTTTGATCCTAAGATCTCTGTGCTGACTAATGCTTCTCTTTTATTTTGTCCTTACAGAAAAGCCAGAGTTGGTATAATGTAAGTACTGCCGTTTCTCTTGTCCCTGGGTGCTCTGGGCTGGGCGGGGGGACGGTGCCAAGGGGCTTTGCAGTGGCACTGGGGCACTCCGACCATTTCCAGGAGGAGGAGCTGGAAATGGCTCAGCACTGGCAAAGGAGGGCTGGCATCCTGAGCAAAGGGATGCCAGAGACAGAGAGCAGAAGCTTTGTCCTTTTGGTCACTCTGGTGATGCTCCCCACATCCTGCACCTCTGGTGTGGTGGCACGCGGTGACACGCGGTGACAGACAGAGCTGCCACCCTGCAAACCCTTTGCATCTCTCAGGGCGGTCTGGGGGCCATAGAGGAATTATTTTCTACCAACCCCAGAGAAACACCAACCACCCTTTGCTTCTGCCTTGGTGTTTTTCCTTTGTTCTGCCCTGCTCTGGGCACAAAGTCGGTGTCACCTTTGCACGGTCGGGCCCCCACCCTGGAGGTTCTGAAGTAGCCATAGGCAAACGCAGCAGCCATCCATGGCCAGCCACAGTTCCTGCCCTCCTGCAGCCATCCACAGCAGGATGGGGGCCAGCAGAATGTGGGATTTTGGCTGAAACAGCGAGGTGGGGTTTGCAGAGGGGAGAGGCAGAGTTAGGAACCTGCTGGGTGTGAACAGCATCGCAGGAAGAGACCCCAGAGGCACAGAGGGACAGAGGCAGTGAATAAAAGAAAAAGAATATTTATTTTAAGAACAAAATACAAACCAAGGTGGGCCAAACTGGTGGAGAAGTGGCAGATACGGACTGTGAGCAGATGCCTCAGTCTGACCTGGCTGCTGTCAAGCCCTGACTGTCACCAGCCTAGAGGTGACTTTGGCTCTTACTGCTTCTGCCTGTAGCTGCTGAGCTCCATTCCCTGCTGCATGATGCTTTGCTGTGCTCTGCTTCTGTGGGTCTCTTGTGTTTTCATGTCCTCTCTATCTTATCTTTCTGTTCTCTTGTTTTTCCTCCATATATTTTCAGCATGAGAGACAGTACATCCGGAGAGTAAGCACTGGCTGCGTTTTTTTGTGGTTTTCCCCACCCCACCCCATTATTTTCCTTTGTAAACAAAACAAAACAAGCTCATTTTCTAGTTAGCAGAGACATTCTGGCCAGATAAAAGCAGCAGTGTGAAAATATGGATGAGGCACAGACTCCAGGAAGTCAGTCAGTCCTACTTGGCAGTGTTTTTTCCATTAAAAATTTGCTAATGCATCTCCTTGATAGAGTTTCCCTTCTTTGCCAGCTCCTTCCAGGCAGGATTTTTCTGCCATTTGGATCATTCTGGTTCCTCCATTCCTCTCCTCTCTGAGGGCAGCTCTAGAAATGAATCATGAAACCTCACCAGTTCTTTGCCCACTTTCCCCCACTCTTGATTTTACACAAACCCCACTGTGCCCAGAGCAAACTCCACACTGTTCTGTGTGCCAGGCACTTTGCAAACCCAACCCAAAAAATAATCCCTAAAAGAGCACATGGGCCTCAAAGATCTGCAGGGCATCACCAGTTTGCTTCATTTTTTTGCTGCTTTTAACTGGTTCTTTTGTCTCTGGAACACTGCATTCCTCTTTGCCAGTTGGAACCTTCCCTTTCCCCTCTCCTGGATTCCTTTTTCTCTATTATTTATTTTTCCGTAAGATGCCACCAACTTCTCCTGCCTTGTGTGTTCTCCTGTGCTTTTTTGGGATTTCCATCCCTGCCCCGTGGAGGAGTGGGAGGAAAGGGGTGAAGTGAGCTCATGGTTGGTTTGACAGAGCTGCCCCTCTCTCTGGTTGTGCTTTCTCTGCTTGGCTTTGCAGAGGACAAATGCAAACTGGTGCAGGTGCTCTGTGAGATTGAGAAGAGAACTCCAGTTCGGGGATAAATGCACTCAGATTTTTGGGGTTTGCTTTGTGTTCTTGGCCTCGTGGTGGAAGAGCAGGAGGTCAGTGGAAAGGAAAAGTCCCTGAGGTGCTTCTCGTGCCTTTAGTGAGGAATTGTGTACATGGAGACTTTGGTTTGGAAATATTGTGGTTTTTAGGGGGGAAAAAATCTGTTGGTCGCTTGTGGTTTAACCATCAGTAGTGTTTGCTTTGGGTTGTGTGTCTGCACGGTGAATTATTGTTAATTCATTTATTATTTTAAAAAGAATTCATAGAAACAGACGCAGGCCTTAAAACTAAACTTCCTTTGTAGTTTTGCTGAAACAGAGATGTGCTTTACCCTGTACCCCTGAGGTGCTGTGAGAGGTGGAAATTTGGGTTTTCTTCCCTGAGGACACCAAGGAGGAGCTGCTCTGTCTGTGGGGGTGTCAGTAACTCCACACTTGTCACCCAGCAGATGCCATTCAAATGAGAGACAAACTGGAGATATTCTGCTGCCAGGGATAAAATCTCTGTCCTTCTCTCCTTATTTTCTCTGGGGTTTGGGCAAAGGGCCCCATTTCTGTGTCACTGAGCCTGACATTCTGAGCCTGGCAAATCTGCCGTGGTTTTCCTGCCTCATTCTGCCTCACTTGGGCTGTGAGCCCTTCTGCTTCCCTGTTCCCAAATGAGGCTGTGTGTCCCAATATCCTGCAGCATTTCTGCTGCTCTGCAGCAAGGCTTCCTTCTTAAATTCAGCACCAGGAGAGTCCAGAGGATGCTCTGGAAAACAGAATGAATAAGATGATCTTGAAAAGTTAGAGAAAACTCACTTGACACCAGGGAAGAGGTGAGATTTAAATCCATGAGGTTTTCACTTTGGCATTTACATCCCAAGGTCTGCCTTGCTCTGAATTCCTTTATTTTTATCTATCACATGCCTGAATATTTTTCTTTTTCCTTTAACTGAGCAGTGAAAAGACATCAATTGTCTCTTTCAGGTGTTCCTAAATATCAGAAATGTTTGCTGTCCCAGTCAGTGTGGGCAGGTCAATAGGAGCCCATCCCTTCCCTCCTGTGTTGGGGAGAGCAAAGTCTGCACTGAGGATTGCAGGGAGAGGGACAGGAGCCCTGCTCCTGCAGCTCTGCCAGCAAATTTGTGCACACAGGGCAGCCCTCAGCCTGGCAGGAGTTCAGAGTCCCTAAAATAACCCCAAAATGCCAGTGGGGAGGCAGGTAAAGGAGAGAGGCCAGAGTTTTCCTGATGCTCTGGAAAACAGAATAAATAAGATGATCTTGAAAAGTTAGAGAAAACTCACTTGACACCAGGGAAGAGGTGAGATTTAAATCCATGAGGTTTTCACTTTGGCATTTACATCCCAGGGTCTGCCTTGCTCGGAATTCCTTTATTTTTATCTATTGATAAAAATATCTGAATATTTTTCTTCTTCAGCTGACACCAGTTATCTCTTTCAGCTGTTCCTAAATATTAGAATATCAGAAATGTTTGCTGTCCCAGTCAGTGTGGGCAGGTCAATAGGAGCCCATCCCTTCCCTCCTGTGTTTGGGAGAGCAAAGTCTGCACTGAGGATTGCAGGGAGAGGGACAGGAGCCCTGCTCCTGCAGCTCTGCCAGCAAATTTGTGCACACAGGGCAGCCCTCAGCCTGGCAGGAGTTCAGAGTCCCTAAAATAACCCCAAAATGCCAGTGGGGAGGCAGGTAAAGGAGAGAGGCCAGAGTTTTCCTTTGGGGAAATGCAGGGAAAGCCTGTGCAGGGGAGCTGGCTGAGGATCTCTCGTGGATTGTGAGGATGCAAAGGGCTTTTGTGAGGAACTCTGAGCAGCTCTTGAGCTTCTGGAGAATACCCAGACATCACAAGGCTGATAAGAAATCAGCCCTGGCTGGCTCAGAGTGCTGTGTCTGTTCTTGGAGACCTCGTGGATGCCGCAGTGGAGGGGAAACTCAGCTGCTGGAAGAGTAAAATGTTCCCTATAAAGGCAAAGGGAAATTTTGCCTCATTTTGGGGAGAAAATCAGGAACACTTTTCCAAGGGTGGCAGGTGAGCCTCCCTCAGCAGAAGCAATCATGGAAATGGAGTTTAATGCAAAAATTGAGGCCTGATGAGTGAGCAAGGTGCTGAAGAGCCCTTTTCTCTGTAAATCAGCACAATCATCTTTGAACTCCCAGTAACCATTTCATAATGGTTAACTACCAGTAACTATTTAATCAGATTATTTCTGGAGCAATGTTAACTCCCTGCCTTTCAGGTGCTTTTCATCCTGTCAGATTTTCTCCCTTTTCTTTGTAAATCAACACAATCATCTTTGAACTCCCAGTAACCATTTCATCAAATTATTTCTGGAGCAATGTTAACTCCCTGCCTTTCAGGTGCTTTTCATCCTGTCAGATTTTACATGACTTTCAGTGTGTGGATGAATTACCAGTTGCTGGGTTGTAGAGGCACTAAATTAGCAATAAATTTTTGGTGCAAGATCCTGTGATGATGAACTCAGATCCATTTTCCAGCCCAGATCCCAGTGATTATTTGAAGCATCTTCCTCTGCTTTCCATTCCATTTTAAAAGGAGAAAAAGGAAAAAGATGGAAAATCTGAGCAACCAGAATGGGTTTAGAGGAGATGCTGTTGGACAGGTGACCGCTTTCTTTGCTGGTTTTTCACACCAGCCCTGCTGTCAGTGGGGTCTAAACCCTCCCACACAAGTAAGAAACGTGTTGTTTATTCCAGAAGCAGTGAGCTTCTGGAATAAACACAGTCACAGAATAAATAAATAAATAAAATAAGTCACAGAAGTCCATCAGTCATGAAAACTGGATGAGCTTTTCCTTCCCCCTCTCCTCTGTGCCTCGTGCCATCTCTGCTCCCTGTTTTCTGTGCTGTCCAAAACTCAGCATTCCTCAGGTTTTGTGTTCTCTGTGCTGTCCCTTTCCCCAGCAGTGTTTGCTGAAAGTTTCCCGTGGAGGATTTGTTTGTGTGGAACAGGGAGATGTCACCCCAGGGAGATGCCACCCCAGGGAGATGTCACCACAGGGAGATGTCACCACAGGGAGTGACCCTTGTGTCCCCATCTCCCCAGGGAGCAGCTCCCTCCCCTCGGCAGTGCCATCCTGTCCCATCTCTGTGTTTGCAGTGCAGTTAATGTTTGATGCCTCCAGCTCCAGGTCAGCTCTTCCCATCCCTGCTGGCACCATCTCTGCAAACACAGGTGGCTGGGGGTGGTTTTCATTTTTGTTCAGTCCCTTTTGGAGTTTCCAGCCAAGGGGCCATTCAGTCAAGCAGTGCAGGTGGCTGTAATGCCAATTCTTTGTCCTTCACAGGCTACAGAATGCTTTTTTTTAAATCATTCCCTCATCTTGGGGTGCAGATGGGTGCACTGCTACAGTGCTGAATGGAAACTCCTCTGTGCCCCAATGATTTTGGGGTGCAGCTGAGCAGACAGAGCTTGTCAGTGAACAAGCTGCTCCCCTGGCCTGGAGCAGAGCTCTGCGGGGGCTGGGTTGGCTTCCTGGTGCTTTTAGAGACCTGTGTGCCCAGCTCTGGAAGAATGAGGGGTTTATTTCAGTGTTTGCTCACAGCTGAGCACATCTGGTGCCCTGCTGTGGGCATGGACCTGGGCACTTCTGTGCCTGAGCAGGGAGCCGGAGAGGCTGGGACTCAGGGCAGGGGGCACAGGGGGTGCCAGCAGCCCAAGCAACCTCCTGGACCTGCAGGGACTTCATTCAGCCCTTCATTTCCAAAGTGGCCTGGCTAATGAATGAATCCTAGAAAGTCCCATTTCTTGGAGAGAAGAGTGGGCTCAGAGATGCACCCAGGAGTGGTGCAGCCCCTCAGATTCTGCCTGTGTGGGTCTCCCATGGCTGGTTCCTCCCAGCCACATCCTGTATTTTTATCTGTCACATGCCTGAATATTTTTCTTCTTTCTTTAACTGACCTGAGCAGAGAAAAGACACAGAATCTCAGAATTTAGAAAATCACAGAATCACTGGGTTGGAAGAGACCTCCAAGTCCAGCCCAACCCCAATAGCTCAATAAACCCTGGCACCCAGTGCCACATCCAGGCTTTGTTAAACACACCCAGGGATGGTGACTGCACCACCTCCCCGGGCAGCCATTCCAGAACTTTATCACCCTTTCTGTAAAAATCTTCTTCTTGATATCCAGCCTGTATTTCCCTTGGTGCAGCTTGGGGCTGTGTGCTCTGGCTCTGTCAGTGCCTGGAGAAAGAGCCCAGCCCCAGCTGAGCACAGGCACCTTTCAGGAGCTGTGCAGAGTGATGAGGGCACCCCTGAGCCTCCTTTTCTCCAGGTGAGCACCCCCAGCTCCCTCAGGGGTTCCTCTCAGGGTTTGTGTTCCAAACCCCTCACCTGCCAATTGTCTCTTTCAGGTATTCCTAAATATTAGACCGTCAGGAATATCTGCTGTCCCAGTCAGTGTGGGCAGATCAACAGGAGCCCACCTGCGTTTGGGAGAGCACAGCCGGCCTGAGCACTGCCGGCAGTGGGACAGGGGCCCTGTGCCGGCAGTGGGACAGGAGCCCGCGTCCCAGGCTCCCCTCAGCCTCCCCAGCACACTCTGTCCAGCAACTTTCCATGACAGGAAACATCTGCTGGGAGGCAGGGCTGGGTTACTGCAGGGCATTGGCCGCCAGAGTTCCCCAGCTCCAGTAACTCCAGGCATGTGGAGTCATTTTGGGATCTTCCCCGCCCGCCCCTTCCATGAGAAACACAGACACTGAGGCTGCCTTTGAGAGCAGAGAGGGACTGCAGGGCAGAGCCTGAGGCACTGAGGAGGCAGAATCGCTGCTTTTCTGCTTGCAGAGAGGGGAAAAGCTGAGCTGGAGCTGTTTGCCTCCCGTCGGGTCCCGGGAGCCGCGTGAGTCGCAGCGGGGCCGGCGGCCGGAGCTGTCTGGGGTCGGGGCCGGCACTCCTGGATATCTGGGGCTTGTGCTGCCCTGCTCACACCTCCAGGGCTCCTGCAGGGGATGCCCACAGCCAGAAGCTGCTGAGGCTGCAGCAGGAGAGCACAGAGGGTGCCCAGCAGCACAGTCAGCCCGATGAGCCTCTTTGGGAAAAGTCCTCTGGAGGGGAAATCCTCGCTGGGATCCTCAGGGGCCGCCTGGGACGAGCTGGGTGTGGGCAGGAGAGCGGGGGAAGGCACCTAAACCCCCTGAACTCCTGCCAGGCTGCGCCTCTCTCGGCTTTGGACACAAACGAGGAGCAGTGGGAGCAGGAAGAGCAGAGTTGGCGTGGAGCTGGGGAGCTGAGCAGGGCTGGGCAAGGAGATGGATTCCCTGCTGGAGTGTGGCTCCCTCTGGGATCTTTGCCTGGACCAAGAGCTGCCGTGGTGGGACCCAGAGGGACTTGTGGACTTCTCTGGAGGAAATGCCAGCCCTGGACCTGATGAAATCCCAGCTGTGAGTGTCTCTAAACTGAGCTGGTTGCACCCTGGCGGAGCTGCTGGGGCTGAGCAGAGCCTCTGGTAGGACAGGTTTTAGTTTGGGCTGCACTGAGCCCAAAGCTCAGCCCTGCAGGGATTATAATCCCTTTTCCCCACTCTGTCCCTATCCTGTCTGCTTGTTCCTGGAAATCTTGGGCTTGGGCTCTTGCTGGAGCCCATCTCAGACCAAGATCTTTTCCAGATGTTCAGGCTGGGAGTTTGGTGAGTACAATTCATATTTCTGTCATCAGCTGGTTGGCAGGTTTTACTCAGAGTGAGATCCCTTCCTCTGGGCCCACGGGGCTGCAGCAAGTGTTGCAATATTCTGTTTCTATTCCACTGAGCTGCTGCGAGGAGCAGGGAATGCTTTTGGGGGCGAGGGGTTGTCTGTGATTTGACAACCAACATCAAATCTGCTGTGATCTGACAGCTTTTGGCAGTGCTGTGAGGCTAATTCTAAATAAATTCTGTATTCCTCCCACCCCATTCTTAAGCAGAAACTGTCTTCTCTAATCTCAGAATTTTGGGGCCCTGGCTGGAACACGCCCACATTTCTTCCCTGGGAGATCAGTGCCTCGGGATTGTGGGATAAAGAGGGAAAATGTTGTACCCCAGGTGGTTTCTTCTCTGCATTTGTGGGAGAAAGAACCCTGCAGATTCTCTGGGAGGTGTGCTTTGCCCTGCCTGGTTCTGCAGGTGTCGGGAGCAGGGTGCAGGAGGTGTGGGCTGTCACACCTAAACCCCAAGAGGAGCCTGGTGTCCCTCCAGCCCCGCGTTCCCTGAGCCCTTCCTGAGGCCAGGACACAAAACAAGGGCAGGACACTGGGAGAGCCCTTCTGGAGCCCCACTGGAGTGTTCCCACTGGGGACAGGGGTGGCCATGGGGGATCCTGGGCTCTCAGTGACAGCGGTTGCTCAAGATCCTCTGGCAGGGCTGAATAACCCATTTTCTGGGGCAAACCCCCCATTTTCTAGGGTGAATCCCCCATTTTCTGGGGCAAACCCCCCATTTTCAAGGGTGAATTCCCCACTTTCTAGGGCAAACCCTCCATTTTCTAGAGTGAATCCCCCATTTTGTGGACTGAATCACCTGTTTTCTGTGCTGAATTCCCTATTTTCTCTGCTGAATGACCCCTTTTTGGATGGTAAATCACCCTTTTTCTGGGGTGAATCCTCTGTTTTCTGGGGTGAATCACCTGTTTTCTTTGCTGAATTGTTGTATTGCACTAAGACATGGATTCTTACACTGAATCACCCATTTTTGGTGGTAAATCACCCCTTCTCTGTGCTGAATCCTCCATTTTTTGGGGTAAATCACCTATTTTCTGTGCCGAATCCCCTGTTTTCTGTGCTGAATCACCCGTTTTCTTGGGTAAATCCCCCATTTTCTAGGCTCAATTCCCCATTTTCTGTGCTGGATCCCCCATTTTCTGGGGTGAATCACTTGTTTTCTGGGGTAAATATTTCTGTGCTGAATCCCCCGTCTCTGGTGGTAAATCACCCCTTTTATGTGCTGGATCCCCATTTTCTATGCTGGATCCCCATTTTCTTTGCTGGATCCCCCATTTTCTGTGCTGAATCCCCCATTTTTATTGGTAAATCACCCCTTTTCTGTGCTGGATCCCCATTTTCTGTGCTGAATCCCCCATTTTTATTGGTAAATCACCCATTTTGTATGCTGAATCCCCATTTTCTGTGCTGAATCCCCCATTTTTATTGGTAAATCACCCCTTTTATGTACTGGATCCCCATTTTCTGTGCTGAATCCCCATTTTGTATGCTGAATCCCCATTTTCCATGCTGAATCCCCATTTTCTGTGCTGGATCCCCCATTTTCAATGCTGAATCCCCATTTTCTGTGCTGGATCCCCATTTTCTGGTGTGACTCCCCCATTTCCTGGGGTAGCTGCCCCACTGCTGGCCACTGGCAGGTGACTGCTGCAAGCAGAGCCCAGCTCCCACCTTGGACAGCGTGCAGGCACAGAGAATTCCTCTCTGCAGCCTTCCCAGCCTGGATTGCTCTCCCAAGCCAGGCTCTCCTCTTCCTCTCCCTCCCTGCATAAAGCCCAAACCCTCCCATGGCTGCGATGGGAGCTCCTCAGTGCCTCTGCCTCCCCTCTCCTCCTGTCCCCGAGGTGTCCCTGTTGTCCCCACTCCGTGTCCTGGCCGTCCCTCTCCTCAGCAGCCCCTTTTTCTCTGCAGGTGTTGAGCCCCACGTACAAGCAGCGCAATGAGGATTTCAGGAAACTCTTCAAGCAGCTCCCGGACACCGAGCGCCTCATCGTGGGTAAGGGCAGCCCCAGGGGGCTCTGGGGAGGAGGGCAGCGCATACCCAGCCAGGTTTTCATTCTTAAATTCATCCACTGACACCAGGGCTTGATGGCCAAAAAGGAGACAGAGGAGTCCTGGAACTTTATTCCAATCAAAGGAGAGGCCAAGGGATTTCCCATGGGGTCTCTCACATTTTTAAGGCATGCAGCCTCCTTTTTATCCCAATTTCCCAGCCACATTTCTCCCTCTCTTCCCCACTGGCTGAGGTACTTGAAAGGTTTAGACTTCCCTACTACAAACCACCTTCTAATGTGTCCCCCCCCCTTTATTTTTTTCTTTTCCTTGTGCCAATCAGTGGAATTCCTATGGAATTTCTGGGTCTTCCCATTGTTTCTCTCACCTCTCAGTATCCAGTTTTATTTATCAGCAGACCCGCAGTTTGTTTGGAAAGACAAATCCCTCTCATTCCATTCATCAGTCAGTGGGATCCTTCCCTTTGTTTCTTTTCAGTGGTAGTTTTATCCACCAGTTAGTTGGTGAAGAGAAATCCCTCATTCCTTTCACCTCCAGACATTGCCACTGACAACAAACCTGGAGCACAGGGAGAGCCCATTTCCAAAGGGTTTTGCACTTTCTGATGGGTTTTCCTCATTTGATGGGGGATGATGTGATTTTTTTCTCCCTTTTTCCTCCCTTTTTCCCAGTGACAGGAATAGTCTTTCCAAACAAGCTGTGGGGCTGCTGGTAGATAAAACCAGCACTGAGAAAAGAAACAATGGGAAGGATTCCACTGAGTGATGAATGGAAAAGGATATTTGCTTGTACAAATAAACTTTAGGTTTGCTGATAAATTAAATTGGACATTGAAAGATGAAAGAAACAATGGGGAAGAAAAACCCCTAAATTCTGTAAGAATTAAACATTCAAAGGCAGGGTTATACATTAGAGGGGAATCTTTGGGATCAGGTGTTCAGACATTGCCACTGACAACAAACCTGGAGCACAGGGAGAGCCCATTTCCAAAGGGTTTTGCACTTTCTGATGGGTTTTCCTCATTTGATGGGGGATGATGTGATTTTTTTCCTCCCTTTTCCTCCCTTTTTCCTGGTGACAGGAATAGTGGATTTGTCTTTCCAAACAAGCTGTGGGGCTGCTGGTAGATAAAACCAGCACTGAGAAAAGAAACAATGGGAAGGATTCCACTGAGTGATGAATGGAAAAGGATATTTGCTTGTACAAATAAACTTTAGGTTTGCTGATAAATTAAATTGGACATTGAAAGATGAAAGAAACAATGGGGAAGAAAAACCCCTAAATTTTGTAAGAATTAAACATTCAAAGGCAGGGTTATACATTAGAGGGGAATCTTTGGGATCAGGTGTTCTGGGAAGTCTGAACCTCTCAAGTCCCTCAGCCAGTGGGGAAAGAGAGAGGGAAATGTGGCTGGGAAATTGGGATAAAAAAGAGGCTGAGTCCTCCAAAAATTGGAGAGATCCCAGGGGAATGCCCCATGGCCTCTCCCTTGATTGGGATAGTTCCAGGACTCACAGGACTTCTTTTTGGACATCTAACTCTGGTGTTTGTGGATGAATTTTCCTAACACCAGCATCCCTGCTCACACACGACTGCCCTTCCCAAACCTCACCTCCCGGCTGGTGAGATGCATCTGCTCCGGTGTCCTGCAGAACGGGGCATCCCCTCCTGTGCCCACGCTGCTTAAACCGGGGGAAAACTCACAGTGACACCAGGAGGGAGGAGACAGATGAAATCTGGAAATAGCACCTGGGATGCTGCAGAGGAGCAGCTGGTAAGGCAGGAGCGTCAGTCAGGCACAGAGATTGTGTGTGACAGGCCCCTGGAGGAATCAGCCCAGGGGACAGGCAGCAGCTGGGGCTCAGCTCCTGCCTTTGCCTTGGAGTGGCTTCTCTTGGTGCTGCTGCTCATCCTCACCTTTAGGCTCCCCTGATGCCTTTTTTTGGGCTTGCCTAGAAACAGAGGCCAGACAAAGTTTAAAGCATATGATAAATATATTAAATATATCCGTGTTTATATGGATTAAATATATCCATGTTTATATATATATATAAATATATATATATATGCATATATTTAAAATGTAAATATATAAAATTAAATAATATAAATATATCCATGTTTATATATATACATACATATATAAATAAATAATACAAGTATATCCATGTTTATATATATACACACATATATATATATATATAAATAATATAAATATATCCATGTTTTTATATATATTATATTTATATATGTTAGCATATGTTTATATCCCTAAATATATTAAATATATCCATGATATATTTAATATATTTAAATATATCCCCAGGGGGCTACACCCAAAATGGTGACAAGTTTTTCAGACAAATATAAGTTTGATCTATTTGCATATCAGGGGTTAATTATCCAATTACAATTTCAGGTAATGAAGTCATATTCCCCCAGTTTTCTCCCCTCCCCAGTTCTCTTTTGTTTATACTTTTTGGGGCCTGAGGCTGTCAAGTGTCCTTGAGTTTCAGGCCCAGAGGAATTATTTTTTCTGACCAAAACGTGAAAAGTTAACTGCACTTTATATGGAGTTTAGAGTCATGCACTGATGCAGCTCAGGATTTAAAAAACACAAAGGTAAAAATCTTAAGGCATCAGTGGCATCTTGTGGTGTTCTGCTCCTCACTGACCACGTGCTGTCCTCCCACAGATTACTCATGTGCTCTCCAGAGGGACATTCTCCTGCAGGGCCGCCTCTACCTCTCCGAGAACTGGATCTGCTTCTACAGCAACATCTTCCGCTGGGAGACCCTGGTGAGGCTCTCCCACTGCTGCTCACACTGCCTTTGGAAGGGCTCTTCTGCTGCCTTCCTCAGCACTTGCTGCCTTTCCTGGTGTTTTTGCCTACCTGGGAGACCCTGCTGGGGCTTTCCCCCTGCTGCCAGCCCCAGGACTCTGCTCACATTGCCTTTGGAAGGGCTGTTCCTGCTGCCTTTCTCATCAATTTCCCCCTTTCCTGGTGTTTTTCCCTGGGAGACACTGGTGAGGCTCTCCCACTGCTGCCAACCCTGGGGCTGTGCCCACATTGGCTTTGGAAGGGCTCTTCTGCTGCCTTTCTCATCAATTTCCCCCTTTCCTGGTGTTTTTCCCTGCCTGGGAGATAGTGGTGAGGCTCTCTCACTGCTGCTCACATTGCCTTTGGAAGGGCTCTTCTGCTGCCTTTCTCATCAATTTCTCCCTTTCCTGGTGTTTTTCCCTGGGAGACACTGGTGAGGCTCTCCCACTGCTGCCAACCCTGGGGCTACACCCAAAATGGTGACAAGTTTTTCAGACAAATATAAGTTTGATCTATTTGCATATCAGGGGTTAATTATCCAATTACAATTTCAGGTAATGAAGTCATATTCCCCCAGTTTTCTCCCCTCCCCAGTTCTCTTTTGTTTATACTTTTTGGGGCCTGAGGCTGTCAAGTGTCCTTGAGTTTCAGGCCCAGAGGAATTATTTTTTCTGACCAAAACGTGAAAAGTTAACTGCACTTTATATGGAGTTTAGAGTCATGCACTGATGCAGCTCAGGATTTAAAAAACACAAAGGTAAAAATCTTAAGGCATCAGTGGCATCTTGTGGTGTTCTGCTCCTCACTGACCACGTGCTGTCCTCCCACAGATTACTCATGTGCTCTCCAGAGGGACATTCTCCTGCAGGGCCGCCTCTACCTCTCCGAGAACTGGATCTGCTTCTACAGCAACATCTTCCGCTGGGAGACCCTGGTGAGGCTCTCCCACTGCTGCTCACACTGCCTTTGGAAGGGCTCTTCTGCTGCCTTCCTCAGCACTTGCTGCCTTTCCTGGTGTTTTTGCCTACCTGGGAGACCCTGCTGGGGCTCTCCCACTGCTGCCAGCCCCAGGACTCTGCTCACATTGCCTTTGGAAGGGCTGTTCCTGCTGCCTTTCTCATCAATTTCCCCCTTTCCTGGTGTTTTTCCCTGGGAGACACTGGTGAGGCTCTCCCACTGCTGCCAACCCTGGGGCTGTGCCCACATTGGCTTTGGAAGGGCTCTTCTGCTGCCTTTCTCATCAATTTCCCCCTTTCCTGGTGTTTTTCCCTGGGAGACACTGGTGAGGCTCTCCCACTGCTGCCAACCCTGGGGCTGTGCCCACATTGGCTTTGGAAGGGCTCTTCTGCTGCCTTTCTCATCAATTTCTCCCTTTCCTGGTGTTTTCCCTGCCTGGGAGACCCTGCTGGGGCTCTCCCCCTCCTGCCAACCCCAGAGTTGTGCTCAGATTGGCTTTGGAAAAGCTCTTTTGCTGCCTTTCTCATCAATTTCTCCCTTCCCTGGTGTTTTTCCCTGCCTGGTGCAGCTGACAGTTCGCTTGAAGGACATCTGCTCCATGACCAAGGAGAAGACAGCACGGCTCATTCCCAATGCCATCCAAGTTTGCACTGACACTGAAAAGGTACATCCCACCCAGCTGAGGCCACTCCTGCGTGGCTGGAAGGGCATTTGGAGTGTGTGGGGGGTTTTTCCAAGCTGGGAAAAGGGCTGGGAGCAGGGCTTGTGCTGAGCTGGGCTCTGGCTGGAGCTCAGGTGTGGGGCCAGGTGAAATATCCAGGTTTTACAGCAGCACATCTCTAACAGAGCTGTTTCAGTGCCCATTCCCTGGTGAGAGCCTCTCCATGAGCTTCACTCTGTGCTCTGTGGATGGCTCACCCCAGCTGGAAAGTGACTCCAAACAGCCTTGTTGTGTTCTTCTCCTGTTTTTTGGCTTTTTCTCAGCTGCTTTTTCTCTCCCTCTCTCCCCATCCAGCACTTTTTTACTTCCTTTGGGGCTCGGGACAGGACGTACATGATGATGTTCAGACTCTGGCAGAATGCTCTGCTTGACAAGGTACAGAGAGAAACCTCAGAGCTGGGGGGGATGGATGTGGGCAGGAGCATCACTTCTGGCTGGAAAACACCCAGGGACAGCAAAAACAAGTGTTTGGGCAGAAGGGACATAAAACACAAGTGGTTTTGGGCAGTAGGGACATTAAACACCAGTGTTCAGGCAGAGCAGGCTCATGACTGCAGAGGCAATTCCCTCTTTTTGCAGGGAATTTTTTTTGCTGGTGTTAATCACCCATTTTCTGGGGCAAATCACCATTTTCTAGGGGAAATCACCCATTTTCTGGGGTTAATCACCCATTTTTTGGGGTAAATCACACACAGTAGGTGCCACTCTGCTGAGGAATCAGGGTCTCAGGAGGGAATTTTTTTTTTTTTTTTGGAAGTCTGTTATTCCACAGTGGAGCAGCCCTCAAGAAAGCAGTTCAAAAAGCAGCAGGAATAACTCACTGTGCAGGCAGAGCTCTCAGTAAATCTGTGCTCCAGGAGTGTGGAGATCCAGGCAGGACAGAAGATGAATGTTCAGGGCATCCCAAATCCAAGTGAGAGCAGTTGTGGGTGCAGGGTGCACTGGGTGAGGGCTCACTGGGTTGGATTTTAAAATAAATCTGCTCCTGCAGTGCCAGAGACCCTGTAAATCCTGGGTTTGATTTGAGTAGCTGTTCCACAGTGGGGAGGGGATTTCTGGCAGCAATAAACCTGATGTCACACTGCTCCCAGCATCTCGGGGTGTCCTGGCTGGAATTCAGACCCTGCTGGAGGAATGAGGCACCAGGAATACCCTGTCCCAAAAAAAGTGGGGTAGGATTTAGGAGCAGAAAGGATCACCTTGCCTGTGGTTGTAACCTGAGCAGATTTTGGAGCTCCCGAGGAAATTCAGCGTCCTTGGTCTCAGGGTCAAGGCACAAGGGAGCTGAGACAGGGGGTGATAAACACAGGAAGCACTTCCAGAGCTCTTTTTCCAAATGTGGGATCTGTAGCTGGCAGGAAAAGGGGAGAAAAAGCTGAGTCCAGTTTTCCTGATAAGACAAGAGTGTGAGTTAATGTGTGTGGGAAGGAGGAGCAGTCAGATTTCTCTGGATGAAGTTCTCAGAGGCTTTTTTTCCTCCCTGCTTTTGGTTGCTGCTGTGGGGAGCTAGATTAAAAAATTCCTGCCTTATCCCATGCAGTTACTATGGGAAGAAATTCAAGCCAGCAACTCAGAAAAAGTTCACTGGGTTTGTTTCCCCTCATTACCAGAAATCTTTGTCGTTGGTCATAAGTTTCTTAGGGGTAAAAATCCCCTTTCATGCCTGTAGCACATCTTTAAATCACAAGTTCTCCTGCCCCATTTTTCAGAGCCTCATGTCACAATCATGTGGTGATCACTGACCTGCATCCCTAAAAATGGGCTTTTTTTAATGGGCTGGGTAATTAATTTTTTCTTCCTTACTTCTTTTTTACTTTTCACAGGGGTGTCTGGTGACACAAACTCCTTTTGATTCCAAACTGTAGCAGGAAATGTTTTTCTTCATTGCTTTAGATAATTTTAATTTTTAATTTCTTTAAATTTTTTTTATTTTATTTAAGTTTTAAATTTTTTTCTAGATTATTTTAGATAATTTTCCCTGAAGCTGGGATTCTTTGGGCAGCTTTAATTTTAAAAATAGGTGAAGGGGAGGGAAAAAAAAAACTCCTCATTAAGTCTTGGGGTTTGATGGAGCAGCAGACACTGAATGGGGGCACAGCAGAAGAGGTGGGAAAAGATCTGTATAGAGAGAAATGTAGGTTTAGAGCTTCCTTTGGGACATTCCAGCTCTGCTTCGTGGGAAATCCCATCCCTGAGCTGCTCTGGGTGCACTTGCTGGTATTTCAAAGGAACAGGAGATTGTGGCATGGAAAAATCACAGTGTCAGATTTGGGGCTGGTGGTGGGGGATTATTGGTGACAAGGCCTGTTTGTGCTCCATGGGGGGAATCTCTAGGCCAGAGATTAAATAAATAATAAAATATAACTATAATAAATAATACTATAATAAAACATTGCATATAATGGCATATATTATGTATATTTATATGTTATATATATAATTACATATTCTATATATTGTATATAATATATGTTTATATATAATATTTTATGTTACACATAATATGTAAAATTATATATATAATACATTATATATAATTTTATGTCTTGTAGCCTTTATTATATTTTAGTATATTTGTAATAAAATTATATAATTTTTATAAAATATATCCAGCATATATTATTTTAAAATTAATATTTAAAATAGAAAATGTTGCCGTAAATAAGTTACATATGTATAATTATAGAAATATAATGGCTACATTTATAATATTTTAAATATTACATACATGTATACATATACATGTACATATATAAATATATATTTCAATAAATAAATAAATAAATAGATATACATATATATACATGTACATACATATATATACACATACATACATACACATATATATAAATACGCATACATACATACACACACATATATAAAAATATGTAAAAATAAATATAAATAAATAAAATATATATAAAGTAAGTAATAAAAATTAAATAATAATGAAGTCCATAAAATGGAATTTCACAGAGCTGAGCTCACAGAAAGGCTCTCACCTCAAGTATCAGCATCTCTCACTTCTTTCAGGGCAAGGAATGTCCTGGCAGTGACAATCCCAGACTCCCAGTGTAGTTTGCATTCTTGGCTGCACACGTGTGACGTTCTGTGCCCCTGTTGCAGCCCCTGTGCCCGAAGGAGCTCTGGCACTTTGTCCACCAGTGTTACGGCAACGAGCTGGGGCTGACCAGCGACGACGAAGACTACGTGCCTCCTGATGATGACTTCAACACCATGGGGTGAGTGGGGAGGGCTGAGCTCTCTGGGAGGGGGCAGAGGTGGCCCCAGGGGAGCCATGCAGGGGTGCTGCATGCCCCAAATGCTGCCTGTGCTGACACATCTGGGACCTGGACCAGTGGTGGCTCTGGAATGTGTGATGCCTAAAAGGTGGGAGTGGAGGGTTCCTCGTGGAAGCTGGTGATGCCTTGTGAAAGCTGGCCTAGAGAGAGGCTGGACAGAATTAAAGAATAAAGCAGGGATTTATGAAAAGGCCTCCATGGATGCACCTTGGGCAGCACAAGAGCCCAGCCAGGGCTGCACCCAAGATGAACCAAAATGGTCACAAAATGCACGAGCGCTCACGGGGTCTCTCACTGTGATCAGTTCTGCTCCATGTGCATATTGGAGTTAATTGTCCAATTACAGCTTAAGGTTATGAAGCTCCATCCTTCTTGTTTTTCTCTCTTCAGCCCATGGTGTTTGTGCTCTTGGGCCTGAGCCTTCTATCGATTGTCCTTGGTCCCAAGGACAAGGGGACCAAGGACTATTGGTCAATTGTCAACAATTCCTTCTCAATTCCTAGAGAAGGAATTGTTTTGTCTCCCTGCTCTGTGAAAAGAGCTCACCATCCCCTAATATGTAGCTCAGAACTACACACTAAAGCAGCACAGGATCTGAAAAATAGAAAAGCTCAAACTTAAGGCATCACTGGGAGGGACTGAAATGCCTGCTGAGCCAGCTGAACAATTCTAGAAATGCCAAAGCACCCCGGTCACAAGGCCAGGCAGTGTTGCATGGCCAGAAAATGCTGATGCTTGTCAATCCCTGTATAAACACCCAAATAATTGTGGCTTGCTCTCCCTGCACTGAGCCATTCCTGCTTCTGGACAGCCTGGAAACTTCATAGAAACATTTTCACTTGCTCTGTGTGTGCAGCTGTAGCTGTTGTGAGAGGGGTAACCATAAAAACCTGTGTTCTCTGTGGCGTCCCAGCTACTGTGAAGAAATCCCCGTGGAGGAGAATGAAGTCAACGACAGCTCCTCCAAGAGCAGCATGGAGGCCAAGCCAGAAGCCAGCCCTCAGCTGCCAAAGAAATCTGTCACTGCCAGCACCCTGACCTCCACGGGCAGCAGTGAAGCCCCAGCCTCGGTGAGTTTTCTCCCTCCCCTGGCAGCAGGAATTTGTTTTCCCTGAAATCCAGCACCCCGTGGGTTGTATGAGGTTTGTTCACCTCCAGCTCCTCTTCCATTGCTGCTGATTTCAGTCCTTGGTTAGTGATGTTGTTACTGGGACTCTCAGCAGCAAGAGCATTTTCCTTTCTGTACTTCTGGATGAAAAGTTTTGGACATAAAAGGGTTGCAGTTTCTTCCCTGCCTTCAGTTATTCCCTGGAAAACAGTGTGTACCCTCCTGGTATGATGGCAGAGCAGACCTTGATTAGATATTACCTTAGGTTCTTTTAGTTTGTTCAGGAGCAATACCAGTATTGGACAATATTGTTCTTGTCTGAACAAAAATCCTGGTGGTGTTCAAAGCTTGAACACTGATTTTTTGAGAGGAGGTTCTACAAACATTGTATGGCAGTTGTCCTCCTCTCTCTATTTAATTTCCTGGTAAGTTAAAGCCAAATATTCAGAGATAGTCTCAGAGATGTGAGGTTTTTTGAAATAAAGCCCATTTGCAGGTGCTGATGTTGCCCTTGTTGTGCCCTGTCCTTGCTGCAGTTCGATGGAGTGCTCCCAGAAGAGGAGGAGGCAGTGGCAGAGAGTCCTGTGGAGAAGGACCTTGGCATTGCCAACATCATGGGAGAGAAGATCGACATCATTGGCCCTGTGAACTCCCCCTCCCTGGACTTCAATGACAACGAGGACATTCCCACAGAGCTCAGTGACTCCTCAGACACCCACGATGAAGGTGGGTGGGGAAAGGCCACTCCATCATCCACTCCATCAGGGCTCCTTCCAGCCTTATCCCATCCCTCCCTGTGAGGGAGTGGAGTGGTGACTACTGAAATCCTTTCTGGACCCTGAAGATGCAAAGAATTCTCATTGTGGGCTGCAGAAAGTGAATGTGTTTACATTTTAGGGTGTGGTTAAAAATTTTAGGATGTGCCTAAAATAATTAATTACCCCTTACCTATGTAATTAATTATCCCTTCTGATGTCCCAACTTCTTGCCCTGGGATCAGTGCAGGAAAAGAGTTGTGTTGCCTTGTGAAAGCTGGCCTAGAAGAGAGGCTGGACCAAGTTAGAATAAAGCAGGGATTTATTCAAAGGATCTCCTCCATGGATGCACCTTGGGCAGCACAAGAGCCCAGCCAGGGCTGCACCCAGGATGAACCCAAATGGTCCCAAAATGCACGAGCGCTCCCGGGGTCTCTCCCTGGGATCAGCTCTGCTCCATGTGCACATTGCAGTTCAGTGTCCAATTCCAGCTCAGCCCCTGCACTCCCATCCTGCTTGTTTTTCTCTCTCCAGCCCACGGGGTTTGTGCTCTTGGGCTGAGATTTGGATCATTTGTCCTTGGTGCCCAGCTGGAGCAGGAATTGTTTTGTGTCCCTGCTCTGTGCACAGAGCTCCCCATCCCCTGATGTGAACCCAGATCTACACACTGAAGCAGCACAGAATGTGAAAAATAGAAAAGCCAAAACCTGAGGCATCAGTTGAAGTACTCCTTTAGATTCCTTCTGAAATATTGAGGTCCTGGTGCCGTGAAAGTACATTTTTCATCACCCTGGAGGGTCATGGCTGGACCTTGAGGCTCTCTTTGAAGTCCTCCTTTAGATTCCTTCTGAAATATTGAGGTCCTGGTGCCGTGAAAGTACATTTTTCATCACCCTGGAGGGTCATGGCTGGACCTTGAGGCTCTCTTTGCCCACAGGGGAAGTCCAGGCCTTTTACGAGGACCTGAACGGGCGCCAGTACGTGAACGAGGTGTTCAACTTCAGCGTGGACAAGCTCTACGACCTGCTCTTCACTGACTCCCAGTTCCAGAGGGACTTCATGGAGCAGCGCCGCTTCTCTGGTGAGCTGCTGCTGCTGCTGGAGCTGCCCAGGGGCTGCAGGGCGAAGGGCTCTGCCTTGGAGCTACAATTTTGTCTGCTTAGGTGACATTCGGAGCAGATTTTGGGACAGAGTGGCCACAGTGCTGGTGGTAGCCAAAAGCAGCAGGATCTCTGTGCCCATCTGGTTTCATTTTCTAACAGCTGGAACAGCTTTTTTATGGAAAAAGCTGATTTTCTTATTTTTTATCATCACCTAAAGCCAGATCTTCTGTTCAAGGCTTAGCAGTGTGAGGGAAAAGCTCTTCTAGCTCCACACCTGACACAGACAGAGCTGCAGAGAGAATTCCTCAGTGTGTCCTAGTCCTCCTTTCCCTGTAACTGTAGGTTTGCTGAAGGAGATAAATCCCCAGCCTCTCCCCTTTCCTTGCCCTTGAAAGAGGGGAAAATACTCACATTTAGCACAGGAGGCCTTTGTTTCACACTCAGCTGAGCTCTAGAGCAGCCAGGCTCCCCAAGGGGAAGGAAATCCCATCCCCAGCTTGGTTATATGGCTCTGCCTTTCCCCAGGGGACTGACCTGAGGTCCCTCCCCAGTCACTTGACTGGAATGTTGTTTTATCCTCTCAGACATTATCTTTCACCCCTGGAAGAAGGAGGAAAATGGCAATCAGACCAGAGTGATCCTGTACACCATCACCCTCACCAACCCTCTGGCCCCCAAAACTGCCACAGTCACTGAGACTCAGGTAAGTGACAGTGGAGCAGGGCTGGGATGCTTGGTACAAACTTCTCTGAGAGTTATTTTCTCGTCCTGAGCATGTTTTATCATTATCCCTGTCCATTTTTCTGTTCACATTTCCTTGCTTTAACTTGCTGCCCAGTATCACTGCAGCCATGAATAGTTAATAGTTCCTGAAAGCACCCCAAATTTCCCAGCAAAAGCAGCTGAGTTTGTGAACAAGGCAGGGTTTTCTCACCCAAACTGGTGGTTTTTGAGCTGTGCTCAGCCCAGCAAATATTACTCAGGAAGTCAGATACTGCCTGACCAGTCCTTCTCACAGCTCCACAGGGTGTTGTGGATTTTTTGTTGTATTGAGGACAGTGAGATGATCTCTTTAAAAAGGTAAAAAAGGGAAACAATGCACTGGGAGGAGCCAGGCTGGCTGTTTCTAGCGGGGAGGAAAAGCTTCTTTCCATGTCTAGAGATGTGTTCAAGTGGCCAAGGGTAAATACTGAAAGTGAGCTTTAGGGATTGCTGAGAGTGAGCCAGGAAAAGGGGTCTGAGCACCACATTTCAGAGAGGGGGATGCCAGCAGCAAGGTGGGACTGGTGAGGGTGTGAGGAGAGGTGCAGGGAGCAGAAAGGAAAAGGGAGAGCAAAAGGAAGTGCACACCCTCAGATAAACAAACCATGGTTTATTTAATTCTGAGTTTGGCTCAACCACCAAAGCACCCCCTGTGTGTCCTCACTGCAGAGCTGGGTGGGAGCAGTCTGCAGGAAAAGCCATGCTTTGTCCAGGGATCTGTGCTGACCTGTGTCTGTCTGTCTGTCCTCTGGGCGAGGTTTGCTCTGGAGCAAAGGGAAAAGCACATCAGAAGCACCTGAAAGAAGAAAGTGATGCGTTCTTACGGTGTTTAGAATCACAGAATGATTTATGCCAGACAATTTATTAGCTAGAATTCATGCTAAAATCTCAGGTGGGTCCCTGACAAGGCAGACGCCAGAGGAGAGGTCCCACTTGGAATGGTCCCACTCAGAGAGGTCCCACTTGGAGAGGTTCTCCTTGGAGAGGTTCTACTTGGAATGGTCCCACTCAGAGAGGTCCCACTTGGAGAGGTCCCAGCGAGCCAGTCCCCACCTGGCACTGTGTGTAACACCTCTGTTACAAAATCCTGGAGGCAGGAGCTGAATGCCCTTTTAAAAATGTACTCACAAGAAGCATCTGGGTGAAACCCTGGTTTTCCTCTGCCTTCCCTTCGGGGTGAGCTGCTCGCAGCAGAGCTGCAGAGCGGGGCTGGGGCGTGGGGGTGTCTCCTGTTTGCAGAGTGCTGCTGGAGGTGCCAGTCTCTCAGAGCAGCATCCTGAGCACACTCAGAGTTGCCTTGCACGCTGTTTTTCCTGCAGACAATGTACAAAGCCAGCCAGGAGAGCGAGTGCTATGTCATAGATGCAGAGGTGCTAACTCACGACGTCCCCTACCACGATTATTTCTACACCATTAACCGCTACACGTTGACTCGTGTTGCCAGAAACAAAAGCCGACTCAGGTACCTCTCCTGGGGAGTGAATGATGAGCAAAAGGCACCTTTGGGAGGGGGTTTTGCTGTTTGGGTGTGTTAGGAGGGGTTGAGGGGGTTATTTCTTTGTTTGTTTCTTTTTTATTATTATTATTTTTTAATGCATTCCTCGCCAGCCGGCATTAAACACCTTTGGTTTGTCTGTGCTCCTGGAGTTCTGTGCTCCCTTGTCTCCTTGCCCCTGGGTTTTGCCCTTGTTTTAGCCAAACATGGGCTTTGCAGCTCTGAGCTGGGAGTCCTAAAGGCAGGTCTGGGACCTGTCAGGGACAGTGAGAATCAGGACAGAGGCAGCTGTGCAAGAAGAGAGGAGTCAATACCTACAAGAGAAGAAATCCAACAAGTGTTTAATTTTTTATTTTTTTACATCAGGGACGCAGTTTCAATGACACGTAGAAACTGTGTGTGTGTGGGTAATTTAAAACAAGTGATTCAATTGCTGACACACCAGCTGCTGTAAGGGACAGTGACTGTGCAGGGTTCTCTGGGAGTCACTGGCTCAGTGGCTCTGAAGATTCTGTCACATCTTCTTCTTTGTCCTGTTGCTGGGACATTCCTGTCACCAAGAGCAGGGGCAGGATTTTCACCTGCTGGGTTGCCATCAGTGCAGAGGAGTTACAGCAGCATCAGGGAGAGGATTTACAGATTTTTCCTGCCTCTCTCTTGGATGCAGGGGTTTGCAGAGCCTGTTAGCACTGCAGACTGTGATAAGCACAGGATGAACGTCCTGGGACTAAACAGAGGAATTGAGTACTGGGCAGAGCTATGTCCATGTGGCTTCAGTAATGATAATCCAAGTGTCTGCCAAATGGCCCTGGAGTGCTCTTGGGAGAGGCTCTTCCTGCCTTTGGAAGGATTTTTCCAGCAGTGCTTCTCCTCTGGAAACGTGAAGGGCTGAGAGCATTCCAGAAATAACAGTGTACATGATTATTTCCTGGATTTACACTGACAAAGACTGTGAGTTGACATCACCCCCAGGAAGCAAAACCAGGGGAATGACTGACCTTTGCCTCCTCACAGGGTTTCCACAGAATTACGCTACAGGAAACAGCCTTGGGGGCTGGTGAAATCCTTCATTGAGAAGAATTTTTGGAGCGGCCTGGAAGATTATTTCCGTCACTTAGGTAAGAGAGGCAATGCCAGTGGCACTCGTGTTTCCCTGGGAGTGGGCAGCATGAGCCAACCCTGGGGGGCTTACAAAAGGGAATACCACAGCTGGAATAAATGACCTGCTGGAATCAATCAGGGCAGCAAATCCTGCTCCCTGTCAGGCAGTTTGGGGTCAAATTTTGGTGAAAAGTGTGAGGAATGTGGAGCACAAATCTCTCAGACCCTGCGCAGCAGCTTCTTTGGTCCAGCTGATGCTTTTTTGGGGGCTACTTAAAAACAGTGGCCAGGCAAAATTAAGAGAATAAAAAGCAGATTTATTTATTGAAGGGCCTTCAGGGACATTTAGGGCAGGCAAAGCCCACCCACAAATGGAAAATGGGTCATGGGTTTTCACACTTTTATAAGTTGGGTCCATTTGCATATTGGGGGTCAGTCTTCCAATTCCAGCTTCAGCCAATGAAGTCATTGACCCCAAGTTTGCTGCCCCCAACTCCCTTTTGTTTCCATCTCTCAGGCCTGAGGCAGTGAGGTGTCCTTGATTGCCAGGCCTGCAGAGGAATTGTTGTGTCTGCCCCAAATGGGGAAGCAGCAGCTCCCACTGTGTGTGGAGTTTGGAGTTCTGCACTAAAGAACTGCAGGGTTACAAACAGGTGGAAAATAAGAAAGCTGAAATCCTAAAGCACCACAGCAGAGGGGTTAAACCTCTCTCTCTCTACAAAATGCTCCCCCTTGGTGCTGCAGAGAGCGAGCTGACCAAAACAGAGAGCACGTACCTGGCTGAGGTGCACAGACAATCCCCCAAAGAGAAGGTGAGCAAGCAATCCACGGTGCGGCGGCGGAAACGCGCCCACGCCCACCTGAGGGTGCCACACCTGGAGGAGGTGCTCAGCCCCGTCACCACCCCCACGGATGAGGAGGTTGCCCATCGAATCAAGCACGTGGCAGGTGAGCAGCTGGGGATGGGGACAAGCAGGGGTTTGTCACAGAGGGGCAGTGTTGGGCTTGTCTGGGTGAGGTGGAGGGTGGGTAGAGGATCAGGGGTTGCCCTTCCCTGTTTCCCATCCCAAATGCATCCCATCTCCTCAGGTTCCACTCAGACACGGCACATCCCTGAGGAGAGCCCCAGTGGCTTCCACCTGCAGAGTGTCTCCAAGCTGCTCCTTGTCATCAGCTTTGTGTAAGTGATGGTTTTTTCTGCTCTCCTCCCCAGCCGGCATTAAACACCTTTGGTTTGTCTGTGCTCCTGGAGTTCTGTGCTCCCTTGTCTCCTTGCCCCTGGGTTTTGCCCTTGTTTTAGCCAAACATGGGCTTTGCAGCTCTGAGCTGGGAGTCCTAAAGGCAGGTCTGGGACCTGTCAGGGACAGTGAGAATCAGGACAGAGGCAGCTGTGCAAGAAGAGAGGAGTCAATACCTACAAGAGAAGAAATCCAACAAGTATAAGCATTTTATTTTTTAGTTTTTTACTTCAGGAATGCAGTTTACAGATGTTTAGTGACACAGAAACTGTGTGTGGGTAATTTAAAACAAGTGATTCAATTGCTGACACACCAGCTGCTGTGAGGGACAATGACTGTGCAGGGTTCTCTGGGAGTCACTGGGCTGCCCCAGCAGGGCTCAGTGTCTCTGAGGATTCTGTCACATCTGGTCAACAAAACCTTTTCATGTCTGGTGCTGGGCAGTGATTTTGATGAGAGGTACAGCCAGAAAGCTACCGGACGCTTGAGAGATGATTTCTGCACAATAAGTAAAGAAACAGCTGAAGTGTGAGGGATTGGAGTGATTTTATCAGCTCAGCAGCAGGAGCTGTTTGGTTTGGGTCTTTCCTGCCACACCTTTCAGGACTGGTGGTCTTGGACTGGCATGTGCTCTCCAAGTGAGCTGGGAATGGGCCCCTCACGTCCCTGTGGCTCAGTTTAATACCCAAACTCACTGGTTTTATTGTTCCTCTGCCCTCGGGCTGACAGCAGGCTTCATTCAGTGCTGCAGTGCTCACTGGGCAGCTGCTGTGGAGCAGAACAGTCTAAAGCAGTGATCCAGGCTTTTCTGACTGGAGCTCAGCTTTTCCTTAAGCTCCACCTGGCTTTCAGAGAGGTGGGGAGAAGCTGGCATTTCAGGGCTCAAATGAGAGCTCCAGTTGAGCTCCTTTCTGTGTTCCCTGGTCCCAGAGGGGGCACAGATGCAGAGGCTTGCAGCAGCACCCAGCCAGTGATAAATGAGGTGCTGTAAGGTGCTGTCATGATGAGAACATAGCTCAGAGGTACCCAAGCTCTGTGCCAGCGTCTCCTGACAGCTTCACTTGGGTCACAGAGCCCTCTGTGGTGTTTCCAGAATATTCCTCTGGCCCGTTGCCATCCGCCTGACTGAACTGGTCATAGTGGGCCATTCTTCCAGCAAAATAACTGCACTATTCAGAGCCAGGCACCAGCCTGGCATTCTGGAATCTCTTCCTGGGGAGGAGCAGAAATGCCCCCCTGCGTGGTGGGGGTGAGAGGAGCTGGGCAGGGCATGGCTGGGGTGTGTCCCAGTGCTGGGGTGGGCATGGGGAAGGGAGGATGTGAACAGTGTGTGTGTGTGTGAGACAGTGCCTCACTGGGAAGGGGGGATGTGAACACTGTGTGTGTGTGTGTCAGTGCCTGCTTTGGGAATGGAGGATGTGAACACTCTTTGTGAGTGTGTGTGTGTTAGTGACTGCACTAGCATAGGGAAAGGCTGGCTGTGAGCACTGTGTGGGTGTCAGTGCCTCACTAGCATTGGGAAAGGCTGGATGTGAGCACTGTGTGTGTGTCAGTGCCTCACTAGGATTGGGAAAGGCTGGATGTGAGCACTGTGTGTGTGTCAGTGCCTCACTAGGATTGGGAAAGGCTGGATGTGAGCACTGTGTGTGTGTCAGTGCCTCACCAGGATAGGGAAAGGCTGGCTGTGAGCACTGTGTGTGTGTGTCCGTGCCTCACTAGCATAGGGAAAGGCTGGCTGTGAGCACTGTGTGTGTGTCAGTGCCTCACTAGCATTGGGAAAGGCTGGATGTGAGCACTGTGTGTGTGTCAGTGCCTCACTAGCATTGGGAAAGGCTGGATGTGAGCACTGTGTGTGTGTCAGTGCCTCACTAGGATTGGGAAAGGCTGGATGTGAGCACTGTGTGTGTGTCAGTGCCTCACCAGGATAGGGAAAGGCTGGCTGTGAGCACTGTGTGTGTGTGTCCGTGCCTCACTAGCATAGGGAAAGGCTGGCTGTGTGTGTGTCAGTGCCTCACTAGGATTGGGGAGGGCTGGCTGTGAGCACTGTGTGTGTGTCAGTGCCTGCACTAGGATTGGGAAAGGCTGGCTGTGAGCACTGTGTGTGTGTCAGTGCCTGCACAGCTGCCTGCTGTCCCCAGGAGCCCAGCTGTGCTGAGGGAGCTTCACCAGCAGTGCAGGCTCACGGATTCCTGTCTGTCCTTCTGCCTCTCCTCCCTCTGCTCCCTTCCCCCTGTACCTCCTGCACTGTCTGAGCCTCCCCCTCCCACCCAGTTTGTGTCAGTCCGTTTCTAACCTGCAGCTGCTCCGTCTTTTCTCTTCCCTGCTCCCATTAGGATCTGTTTCAGGTACTGTCTCTCTCTTTTTTTACCTCTTTACTCTCCCATTTCCCTCCCTTTCTCTGCATTCAGCACATCCACTCACCCCGCCCTGTCTGTCTGTCTGTCCTCCTGGCTCACACATTTCTTCCACGAGGTGAAGTTTTGCTCACTCAGATTAAATCCCCACTCACAGCATGGACTGGGCCTCAGACACCTTCCTGAAGGGCTGGCTGTTGTCCCAGGTGCTCCTGGCCGGCAGCGAGTGTGGAATGCTCCTGAGGTGGCTGTTTTCTTGCTTCCTTTGCAGTCTGGTGCTGCTGGTCATTCTCAACATGATGCTGTTCTACAAACTCTGGATGTTGGAGTACACCACGCAGACGCTGACGGCGTGGCAGGGCCTGAGGCTGCAGGAGAGGTACAGCCAGGCCTGCTGGGGCTCTCCTTGGCTTCTCTGGGTGTCAGGGGCTTCCCTGTCACACCAGAGCTCTGGGCTCTCACTGCTGTGCAAAACGCGTGAAGCTGAAGGGCTGTGTGCATTTCCCCTGCAGCTGAAGAGCAGAGTTAAGGCCACAGAGGATGCTCTGTGGATAAATGTTCAGCAGTTTTGGGCTGAGGGGGTCACTTCCCCTCCTCTGATGGCCAAACTTCCCTCTGTATCTGCAGCATCTTAGAATGATCCCTTTGTGTCAGAGGAGAATTTGGGCCTGGGACACACGGTCTGTCAGGTTTGTGTTTTGGAAGGTGTGGATGCAGATGTCCTGCCTGAGTGGTCTCTGGTCTGTTTTAGAGGCTGAGAACATCCTGCATCCACTTTTCTGAGGTGTTTTTGTCCCCTTGTGTCCCTTTTTTTGGAGTCCCAGTTGCTCCCTGGCTACACTTCAAGCATTCATAGCCATGTGCTACCTCTGTGTTGGAATTTTTTGCCCTATTTGTGTCATTTCTCCTACTTAGCAAAGGAATTACTATCTTCCCCATACCAGCCCTGCTACTTCCCCACAGAAAGATACTTTAGGTGATTATAGATACTTTTGACTTTATCTTTTTTTGATTTTATCTTTCTATGGTGCTCTTGGTGATTTTTAGACCACTACAATAGTATTTAAGTACAGAACTTACATCCTGGTTGCACAGTGTGATGTGCAAGTGCTGGAATTACGTGGGTGGCTCCACGTGGGTAATTTTTGTGTTGCAGCCACGATTGCTGTGGAAGCACCTGAATCCATCCAAGCACCTGGAATGCTTCCATCTGTCCTGAAGGGAAAGGCTTGGAAAAAAGAGCCAGAGCAGCTATTTCTCACAATAAAGGCAGAAAGGGACCTGAGGGACAGCATCTGGACAGGAGGCAGCAGAGTGCCCTGGGGGCCAGGAAGGCCAGTGGCTCCTGGCCTGGCTCAGGAATGGGGTGGCAGCAGGAGCAGGGAGGGCACTCTGCCCTGCACTGGCACTGCTGAGGGCACAGCTGGAGTGCTGTGCCCAGCTCTGGCCCCTCAGCTTGGGAAGGACCTTGGGACACTGAGCACGGCCAGAGGGGACAGCGAGGCTGGAGAGGGGCTGGGAACACAAACCCTGAGAGGAACCCCTGAGGGAGCTGGGGGTGCTCACCTGGAGAAAAGGAGACTCAGGGGTGCCCTCCTCACTCTGCACAGCTCCTGAAAGGCGATGATCTTGGAGATCTCTTCCAACCTGGTCATTCTGGGATTCTGTGAAAGAGAAATCTCTGTCCAAACTGGGATTTTATGACCCTTGCCTGTGTTTTTGTGGCAGGTTACCCCAGTCTCAGTCAGAGTGGGCCCAGTTGCTGGAGTCCCAGCAGAAGTACCACGACTCAGAGCTGCAGAAATGGCGCGAGATCATCAAATCCTCCGTGATGCTCCTGGACCAGGTGAGACTGCACAGTTGCAGGCAGGGCTGTGACCAGGGTGTCACTGTGTCCTCCCAGTCCTGCTCCCCATCCTTCAGCACCTCCTGCTTCCACCACAGCCCCTCAGGTCTGCCAGCTCCTTTAGAGCCATCTCCTGCTGCTGGTGGGTACCACAAGGGCAGTCACAGGGGGCAGTGGCTGCTCTCTCCCATCAGAGGGGTCCATGCACGTCAAGGAGAGAGCCCTGCAGGGCCAAAAACCTCATATGGGCACATTTGGTATCTCATCTGTCATCCCAGCTTGGAGAGCAAACTGGTTTGAGCTGAACCCTGGATTTACATGCAGCTTTCAGGGAGGAAGGGGACAAACTCTTGTAGCATAAGTCCAGGAATTTCGGGGCGTGCTCCCTAAAAAGCACACAGGGCTGCTGAAAACACAGTCCAGAAATGAGAGCTGCTTCCTCATAAATGCAGGAATTTCAGGGTGTGCTCCCTAAAAAGCACATAGGGCTGCTGAAAACACAGTTCAGAAATGAGAGCTGCTTCCTCATAAATCCAGGAGTTTAAGGGTGTGCTCCCTTAAAAGCACATAGGGCTGCTGAAAACACAGTTCAGAAATGAGAGCTGCTTCCTAAGTCCCTAAATGTGAGCTGCTTTCCCCTAAGGAGAGAGAACTTAGGGAATGCCAATCCATGTCCTTATCACACAGTTTCAGCAGCTCACCTGGGTGTAGGTAAGGACAGACTTCAGCCTCCTTGGCTCCTCAGCACTGTGCTGGTTGTCACACAGGAGTTTATTCTTACCCTGGACTCTGCTCACCCCTTCTCCTGGAAGATGGTGCCCCACGTTCCCAGTCCCCATTTGTGCATCCCAGCCCTGACTCCCCACTCCCAAAACCACAATACTTGATACAGGGAAAAAAAGAAAAAGGAAACCCCCAAGTTCTCTCCTCTAGGGTAGCACCACAGTGGAGAAATCTCTTGTCTTGCAGATGAAGGATTCTCTAATAAATCTCCAGAATGGCATCGGGTCCAGGGACTTCGGGTCAGATCCAGAGGAGAAAAGGAAACGTTTCCATTAACAGGCAGGAATGCAGGAGGCCAGAGGACGGTGTGCAATATGTGTAAATAGGATATATAAATATATATATAAATATATATATATATACAGATATAAATATATATATTATATACAGATTTTAAGAGAAAAAAAAAGAAAAAAAAAAGAAAAAAAGCCTAAAGAGGGGAAGGAGTGACCTCCAACACTGGCTGAACTGGAGGGTCTCTGGGCGTGTGGGGGTGTGTGTGTGGGAGGGCTGTGCTCTCCCAGCACTGAGGTGTGCTGAGGGCCGTGCCCAGCTCTGCTCCCTGGGCCCGTGCACCGCTCCTCTGTAATATTCCTGTCTGTCTGTCTGTCTGTTTCTGTTGTCTCAAAGGGAAGCATCAGTGTGAGTGCCCCCCTGCCCGTCCCCATCCCCTCCCTGCGCATGGAGGTCCCTGCTTGGCTCTGTTACCTCCCAGAGGGGACACTGTCACCTCCCTCACCCTGCTGCCTGCAGGGCACACAGGGCTGGCAGTCGCAGTCAATCCCTTGCAGAGCTGCTTTGGAGAGGAGGGGGAGCTGCTGTGGCTCTGTGGAGGGCAGATCCCCCTGGCAGGCCCCTCCTGGGGCAGGAATTTGCTGTCAGGGCAGCCAGGCTGGCTCAGAGAGCAGAGCACAGAGGTGACCGAGCTGCAATCCCTTCCACAACCCCCCCGTGTTCCTCCTGTCCTGATGCTGCAGTGAGAGCCAGGGGAGGGTCTGCCTCCCAGGTGTGTGAGAAGGGGAGAGCACACCTGTGACAGTGTCCCCTTTTCCTGTTCTCTGCTTTCCCTGTGCTTGGGCCCCTGCCACTGAGCCACCCCTGTGCTGCAGGTCTGCATCGCTGCTGGAATCACCACGGTGGGAGGACCCAAATTTAAACACAAAACCAAAATTAGGATTGATTTGCAAGCACTCCCACTACCCAGCTCAGCAAATCTCTCTCCTGTTTGTTCACCCAGCCCTTGTCTTGTAAAATCTGTGGGAAAACGGGGGAAAAACCAGCTTCCTTTCCTTGCCTGGGATAAACTTACATAATTGTATCTATGCAGCAAGAGCCATCACTGTGGATAGTTATGTGACTGCATCTGAGGAGCAACAAGGCTTCCAAAAATCCAGGAGAGGTCAGGAAGGTGACAGGGACCATGGGAGGAAAGGAAAAAGGGCCCATCAGAGGGTGGCAGGACAGAGCTGGCTGTGAGGGTGTCTCCATCAGCTGGGTAGTGCAGCCCTGGGAGGCAGCCAGGTGCCAGAGCTGCACTAGAAGAAAGCCAGTGTGCATTTTCAGTTCTTCCGGGGGATAATTCCAGAGTCCATTAGCAGCCAGATGGGGAAGAGGGGCAGCTTGGCTGTGCTGTGCAATGCACAAACCCCATGGGGATTGGAGTGGGGATGCAGGCTGCTTCTTGAAGTGTTTAATAAATGGTTTTGCCTCTCCCCCCAGCCAGGTAGGTGATGAGAATGTGAGTCCCACTTTGTCCAACACTGGGATTTTTCCACCTTCTGGCTGGCAGGAGGGAGGCAGCTGCACATCCCCAGTTTGGAAATGGTGCAGTTGTAGCTCCTCCAGGATGAATAATTGGTCTCACACCATTCTGTAGCACAGAATATCCTCAGTGCAGCCTGAGGAAAACCCTCTGAGCTCCCACTTTCCAATGGATGCAGGAGTGACCTGCTGATTTCTCCCCAGGACCAAGTGCTAAACACATGCCCCACACAAGACTCCCATGTGCAGGAGCATGGATGGAGCCAGGCTATCAAAAGGACATTTCAGACTGTGAAAGCAAGCTCCAGCTGGGGAAAACCAGAGAGTAATGGCTATTTATGACTATTTATTTAATTTAATGCTGCTGACTACTGTACTGCTCCCTGACTTTTTCCCAGGGAGGCTGCTGAAATGGCTGCTGTACCATGAAACTGAGGTGCTAGGGCCTGGGAAGGGCTTTCTGGGGCTCATTTTCCCCACTGTGACTTGCCAGACTGTCCCAGAGTCCCCCTTCCCCCTCTTAGCCACTCCCACAATTACTAAGCACACAGAATTCCCCTGCTGCTGGGATTTCCCTCTTCTAGAATTTAATTTCAAGCACCAGGCAGGACCACACAGAGGAATCCCTGGGATCCACCCTGCCAGGAAAGAGCAGACTGTGCAAGAAGTACCTGGAATGTGGGGTCTCTTCCATGCAGAGAGAGTCAGAGAGGGTCACAGATAAATGCTGCTGATCAGTGTTTGCTGCTCACATTCTGTCAGGGAGGCAAGGAGCCCTTTTTCTCCCCCTGAATCCTTTCTCCTGTGCAGATTTCCTGCTGCAGGCTCAGGATATTCCCTCAGGCTGAGCCCCAGAGACAGAACTGCACAAGCTCTGTTAAATCACTGTCAGGCCAGGCAGCTGTAGCAATCTCACCACTGATATTTGTCCTACCTGCACATTAAAGTGGGTTTTTTAAATTGTTTGACACCCATCCTGCCACTCAGCAATGTGAATTCCTTCAATGAGAGCACAAGGGCAGCAGAACTTGGTGCTGCAGTGTCCTTCACACTGAGGGAGATTTCTTTTTGAGGCCTTAGGGCTTTGGCTTTTTCTGGTTCTTTCTTTTTCCCACTTGGCAGCCAGTCTGCCTGAGAGTTGGATGGGATTCACAGTCTTGTTTTGCCTCTTAATCTCTCACAGTAGTAATAAAAAGGGGAAACACAAGGTCTTAAGGCACTAAGGGTGAGGGTTTAAAGAAAACCTTGGAGTGTTTTCACTTCCTCTGCAGAGCTGGGATAGGAATCAGCTGCCCCTGAGCAGTCCCAGCTGACAGGTTAATTCCTTCTGGAGCCAGAGACAATTTTGGATTACATTTCCTGGAGGGATCAGTAACACTTTCTAGGAGTGAGAGGCCTGAATAATGTTACAGAGGGTGGTGCTTCCCCCAGCACTCACAGCCAAGCCTGGCTTCCAGCAGCAGGGTTTTGCTTCTCCCCTTGCTCACTCATCAGAAATCCCCCTGGATTCTTTCCAGGTGCATTTCCCCTCCCAGTCTGACCCTTGCACCTGCACATCTGCTGGGGTTTGATTTGCACAAAACAGGGATTTTTTTTTATTATATTTATTTTTAAAAAGGCATTTCTCCAGCCAAGCATGCAAAAGCAATGCCAACAGCTTGTAGCCTAATTCCTGCCAAGGAAGATGCTTCCTGTTGGGAGGAGGGAGAAGGGGGAGCAGGAGGCTCTGATCCACCAGTTTGTGACATCCTCACTGATCTTACCTTGGCACAACCTCAGCCCTGATAAATACACACCTTAGCTTAGCTTATCTTAGAGTTCTGGCAGCTGGGATTGGAGTGGATTTGAGTCCTGGGTAAGTGCTGTGCAGCCAGGCATTCCCGGAGTAGATACCAGAGGTTTCTACAGCAGCATCTGCCTGTGAAGCCTCTGAAGGACCAAAAACCAGGTTATTCCAACCAAAAACCAGATTATCCCAAGGCAGGGGCACTGCTGGGCCTGCACATTCCAGAGAGTAAATATGGGAAAATGAAAGGCAGAGAGGCACTTGCAGTGGGAAGGAGTTAGCTGTTAACAGGATAATGAGCTTTTTGGGTGCTCTGCACTCCAGGCACTCCTCAGTCACAAAACTGTGCTGTGAACTCACACTAACTGATACTGACTTGTGTCTGAGCCCTTCCTGCCTCCCTTTGGGACAGGAGAAGGGAGGCACATGCCTTTGATGGCCCCTGAACTGCCTGTGTGACACACAGGCTGCATTTACACCTCTGGCTGCTGTCCCTGTCTGCTGGGTGACACCTGACCCTGCTTGGATGCTTCTCATCTTAAAACAGAAACCTTGGGCACAGGGAATGTCTCTAGTGAAGTATGACCCTGGGTTGTAAGAGGAAAGGTTCAAAGCACAAGGCTTTGCTGGATTTGGAGCCCTGAAGGCACAAAACTGCCTGTGAGATAACAGGGCACGTACTGGGAGATCCCCTCTAGGAATGCTAATCCTGGAATGCTAATCCATGTCCTTATCAGACAGCTTCAGCAGCTCACCTGGGTGTAGATAAGGACAGACACTTCAGCCTCCTTGGCTCCTCAGCACTGTCCTGGTCGTCACATAAGAGTTTATTCTTACCTTTCTGCAAGAAGGTAGAAATTTCTTTTCCAGAGAGTGGCTGAAGACACTTTTGGTCTGGGCACTTGAGACCTTTTGGATTTGCTCTGGTGTGCTGCAGCAGCTGTTCTCCCCGAGCACCTGCCCTTCCCCACGAGCACAGAAACACACTCCTGATTTACAGCTGGAACTGTCTGGTTCCATGTTACACTGAAAATCAGTCTTAAAATCACTGTTTAAAGCAGCAGCGCCTGGCTCAGGGGAGGCAGCTCTGTCCTGTCTGCCCAGGCAGCTGCTGCCACCCCCAGCTCTTGACAGATCAGTGCTTTCTGCACTGCCTGCTCAGCTCCAAGAGGCTCTCCCCACGGATCTCTGCCAGGCTGCCACTGACACAGCCCATGGCACAGTTCCCTGGCCTCTGGCTTCATCTTTCCAGCCTCAGCACCACTTAAAATACTGACAGGGGCTTGCTTAAAACACAGCTCAGAACAGACACTCTGGAACCAAAGCCTCCGAGGGAAGTGGCTCACAGAACACCTGTGCCAGGGTGGTTCCTGTGCTCTCTGAGCTCTGTGGCTCACAGAACACCTGTGCCAGGGTGGTTCCTGTGCTGATTTTCCAGCCTGTTCCCCACTGGACATGCTGTGATCACTGTGGCTCACAGAACACCTGTGCCAGGGTGGTTCCTGTGCTGATTTTCCAGCCTGTTCCCCACCAGACACGCTCTGATCTCTGTGTTTGCAGTCTCTCCAGCACGAGTCTCTCTGTGCCATAAAACCTCTCTTTTTCCAGATGTGCACACTGGCCAAATACTCTCGTGTCTTGGGTGACTGTGATCAAGGCCATTCCCTGATCTAGGCAGACAGCATGGGCTTCTCTTAGCATGGATCATGGCATGCCATGCCCTCCTCCTCTCCCACACGTTTTGCAGTGCTTGCTATGGCTTTTCCCTGTCCCCTCGCACCTCTGCTGCTGGACAATCATTACCTGTGTCATAGATGGTCTGACC